GCCGTCACGGGATGCCAGCGGCGCGCGGCCTCCATGGGCGCGCGGTCAAGGTGCTGGGCCCCCCCGGCGACGACGACGACGACGACGACGACGACGACGACAACCGCTCCCGATCCACAGATCGCAGGGAGTCTGGGAGCCTCGAGTCCCCCTCTTCGCCCAGCCCGCGCGGAGCCTGCCTAGGCAGCGGCAGTTGCCGTTGCGCCCTGTCGCGGCCGCGGCCGGCGGTGCCTGATGGTGCGCCGGGCGCCCTGCCGCCGCCATCGGCGAGTGCGGCAGGCGAGGAGGGGCGACAGCGCGGGCCTCCTCCGCCCTCCATCGATCGGTGGCGCCGCTGGCGGCGGCGGCCTGGCCGGGTGCTGCGGCTGCGTCGTGGGGCTGCTGGCGCTGCTGCAGCCCTTCCAGGTCCGCTGGCAGCTCTCTGAAGGCGCGTGCGCGTCGGCAGTGCACGCGGTCAGCGCGGTCGGAGCTCCCCTGAAGCTGGACTCTGATTCGCGCTACGTGTGCCACGGGGCCGCGGCCCTGCGCGACGCCGCCTCTCCCGCCGCGCGGACGCACGCGGGCTTGGGCGGGCTGCCGAGGCCGCACTGCGAGTGCGGCTGCATCGAGGCGCGCTGGGTCAAGGGGGCACCTCCCCAGACCCCCGACGTCATGATTTGTTCAGAGCGTCGACCCTCGGAAGTCTCGACCCGTTCCCCTGGACCGGTTTTCCATGCCCAGTCGTTTTCTGCTGGCCCAGAGGGCCGGTAGGGGCCTCCAGAGGCCGACAATTAGGAAAACCTCACGTCATGATTCGTCCCAACCCTCCTGTGATGTTGGGTACTCGTTTTGAATAGAGCAGTGTGGTCTCCACCTCCTCCTCCTTCTCCTCCTCCTCCTCTCCTCTCCTCCTTCTCTCCTGTCTCCTGTGTTCCCTTCTCCTCTTCTCTCGTGCCGTCTGCGATCTGCGCAACTGTCGCCACTTTCGTGGGTCCTGGGAGGCCCAGCGGAGGTACGTCATACGCGGACCACCTCGGGACCTCGCCGCCCCCTGGGGGGCTTGCGATCTGCGCAACTGTCGCCACTGCGGGTCCTTCAGAATGCCAGACAGCATTGAGTGGTCCTCACTATAACTGCCACATGTATAGAAAGGGTTGGGTACGTCAAAGGGTAATTTCATTTACCTGAAGGAATATGGGGACGCAGCCGCGGAGGCGGGCGGCGGGACCGCACCCGACGACCACGCCGGCAACGAGACCGCCGACAGGCCAGCGGGCGCCGCCGCGCGTGCGCCTGCTTGCCCGAGCGCGCGCGGCGGCGCCGGGCGGCAGGTGCAGCGGCTTACGCGCTGCGCTCCCTGCACAGCGGCTGCTGGCTGCGGTGGAGCTGGCGGCGCTGCGCGCCATCTCCCAGGCCCCCTCGGATGATGAAAAAATCATCGACGGGAGTTTTGTTCCTCATGTTCGGCCTCTCACGGCCCTTACCGGCCCTCGGGACCGTCAGAAAACGACTCAGGATGGAAAACCGGCCCGGGGGAATGAGCCCAGACCTCTGGGGGTCGACGCAATGAAGAAATCATGACGTCTGGGGTCGGGGATCGAGGTTCCCTTGGGAGGACGCGCGATAGGAGACAAGTAGAAAAGGAACAACAACTGCATAAGCATGAACTCTTGGCGCTCCGCACGGATTTGTTGGATCTGCGCTGGACCCCGCTGCCTGGTCCAGACCTCTGGGGGTCGACGCTATGAACAAATCATGACGCTGGGGGTCTGGGACCACGAGAGGTGCGCAGGCGCTCGACTGAGGCGGCCCACGGCCCCAGAGATCCTGGCGTCGCAATTTTTGTTCGAGCCTGGCGTTTCCGAACACTCCGAGTTTCCTGATAAGCGTCGGGGGGCCTCACCCCCGCCGACAACCCAACATCGACCCCCGTCGCGGGCAGCCACCGCGCGCCGAAGGCGCTCCGACCCCCGTCGCAGCGCGAGAACGAGGCGAGGCGGACCCCCGTCGAGGGGGTAGCCCCCCACGCTTGATAAGAAACCCAGAGTACCTAACTTTCGGGCCCCAAGAACCTCAGAGATCGATCCAGCTCGAAAAAAATGGGCGCAGAAAGATGGGGTCCGGGGCTCCGGTCGTGCTTTTTCGCGATGCTGCACTTTTCTTCGTGACGTCGGGTCGCAGGGGCTGGCACAGGCTGCCTGCGCGGCCTACATGGCAGCGGGCGCAGCAGCAGCAGCCCGCGCCGCCGGCGGCGGACCTGCAACTGCAGACCTCCTCGCGCTGTGTTAAAAACAAAAAAACACGACGGGCGTTTTTATGTCGTTGAGGTTTTCGGCCTCCAGGGGCCCACGCCCGGCCTCGGGAGTGTCAAACAACGACTCGGGATGAAAAGCTGGTCCCCCAGAAAGGGTCCAGGCTCCTGGGGGCCACGCCATGACAACATCACGTCGGGGGTCTGGCGACCGCAGCAGCAGCGGCGTGCCCAGCGACCGTGGGCGGTCGGCCAGGGCTTGCCTCCGCGCGGTGCCGCCGCGGCCGCGCGCGGCGTCGCAGGCGGCGCCGCAGGGCCCCGCGCTGGGTCGCGCGCCTCTGCTGCGGCAGCGCAGCCCCGCACGGGCAGGCGCTGGCGCGGCTCGGTCCGGCCCGCGGTGGGCCGGCACCCCGGACCCCCTCGGGAAGTGAGGACATCACGACGGGAGGTTTATCCTAAGCTTCGGCCTCTGGAGGCCCTGACCAGCCCTCGGGGCCGTCAACGAAGAGCGACTCGGGCGGGAAGACCGAATGGGTCGAGACCTCTGAGGGTCGACGTTGTGAAAACATCATGACGTCGGTGGTCTGGGACGCTGCCGCCTCGGGCGGCGGCGCTCCTTCCGGTGCGCGCGGTGCGAGCGGGGGGCAGCGAGGCGGACTGGCGCGCGGCGCTGCGCAGGCGGCTGGAGGCGCGGCCCGGGCCGCTAGGCCCTAGGCCAGTGCGGCGCAGCCCGGGGCTTGGGCATGCCGGCGGTTTCACCCTCCCCCCTTCTCCTCCTTGCGTTTCGTCACGGGGCCCGCTTGCGCTTGTCAAACGAGCGATTCACGTGCTAGATAGATGCGCTCTCGCCATACCTGACACCCTGCCACTCCCACGTAAACCTTCCCATCCGCTGATGTGCGCAATCAGTAGTAAGGGGAACTACGTACATCGGAGAAGGAGGTGTTGGATAAGCTGTATGACGAGCAGGAAAGAGGATAATGAGATAGTAGGAGGACGGGGACGAACAGCAGCAGCAACTTCATTGGCAGGAGCAGGAGCAGCAGGGGAAGGCGGAGGAGGGGAAAGGAAGGGGGGCGGCAACGATGAGGAGGGCCTCGGATCCATTGATGTGGCCCACGCTGGGGCGAGAGCGCCATTCTGAACGAAAGAGCGTGTTCTACCGCTGCTGGCGGAAAACCGGGGGGGGTCACTACCGGTTCGAACCCCTCCCCCCCCCCCCTCTGGAAAACCGTGGGGGGTCACTACCGGTTCGAACCCCTCCCCCCCCCCCCAGTTCATCATGAAAAGGGGGAGGGGGTCACTACCGGTTCGAACCCCCCCCCCCCCTCGAACTCGAAAACCGGGGGGGGTCACTACCGGTTCGAACCCCCCCCCCCCCCTCGAAAACCGAGGGGGGTGCGGACAGTGGTGGGGACGGTGGTGGTGGGGACAGTGGTGAGGGGACAGCGGGACAGTGGTGGGGACAGTGGGACAGTGGTGGGGACGGTAGTGGTGGGGACAATGGTGAGGACAATGGTGGGAACAGTGGGGACAGTGGGACAGTGGTGGGGACGGTGGTGGTGGGGACAGTGGTGTGGGGACAGTGGGAATGTGGTGGAAACATTGGGACAGTGGAGGGTACAGTGGTGGTGGGGACAGTGGTGAAGGCGGTGGCGAGGACGGCGGTGGGAAAATGGGACAGAGGTACAGCGGGGACAGTGGTGGGGATAGTGGGGACAGTGGTGGGAACAGTGGGACAGCTCAGTGGGACAGAGGAGGGGTCAGTGGGACAGTGGGGACAGTGGGGATAGTCGTGGAGACAGTGGGGAGAGTGGAACCGTGGTGGGAACAGTGGTGGGGACAGTGGGGACAGTGCGACATTGGTGGGGGCACTGGTCGGGACAGTAGGGACGGTGGTGGAACCAGTGGGGACAGTGGTGGTGAGGACAGTGGTGCTGGGAACAAAAGTGGGGGATGTGATGCGGACGGTGGTAGGGACCGGGAGTTGTTTGCTGGCGGTGCGTTTGGGGGGGGGGTCGAACCGGTAGTGACCCCCCTCCGGTTTTCGAAGGGGGGGGGGTTCGAACCGGTAGTGACCCCCCGGTTTTTCCGGATCCGGAGAGGGGGGGGGGGGGGGGAGGGGTTACAACCGGTAGTGACCCCCCCCGGTTTTCAAGTTCGAGGGGGGGGGGGTTTGGGGAGGGGCGGGGTTTTGCCGGGGGAAGGGGGGGGGGGAGGGGTTCCAGCAGGGGGGGGGGGATTTTCGGGAGGGGGGGGGGGGGGGGGGGGAACCCCGGGTTCCGGAGGAACAGGGTGGCAATTTTCTACAGAAAAGCGGCGGTGGATCACGCTCTCTCTAAAATGAGGACAATGCTGCGGCGGAAACGCTATTTTGAAGGAGCGGAGCCGACGGAGTCGTAAACACAAGGCATGCCGTAGGAAAGACCACATTCTGGGTAACAAAACGCTGAGAGGAGTGGGAAACTTCCGGACAGAGTCAGGGGATCGTTGACACTAGTAAAATAATGTGCTGTTTTTTTTTAAATCCTTGTGGAGAGGAGAGAGGGTGAGGATGCAGGAGGAGGAAGAGGAGGAGGAGGAGGAGGAGGAGGAGGAGGACGAGGAGGAGGAAGGGAGGGAGGGAGGGAGGGAAGGAGAAAGGGAGAGAGGAGGAGAAGAAGAAGAAGGAGGAGGAGGGGAGAGGAAGAGGATAACCAGGAGGAGGAGCGCCGCTCATGCTTCAACTGCCCTCCCCTAAGGTCAATCTCCCAGAGCCCTCAGCAGGGCCTCAGCGGGAGTACAACGCCGCCTGGTAGAGCCTGGGGTGCCTCTGGTTGATCTCCCGAAGCTCCTGGCAAGGGTCGCAGTCGCCCTTCAGGCCCCTAAGGTACTGGACCTCCACCCGGTGCTCTAGGTCCGCGAGCGCACGTGTACCCTCCCCGTAGCTATCCTCGAACCCCTTGGCGACGAAGTAGGGCACGCCGAGGGTGGCGGTGGAGCGCCCGAGGTGGTGCCGGTCCGAGCGGGCGAGGGAGTAGCGGTTGGCCGACGGGTCCTTCCCCACCTTGCTGGACCCGAAAGCCGCCTGCTCCAACCTCGGGTGCCTCCGGCTGATCTCCTTGAGCGTCTGGCAGGGCTCGCAGTCGGCCCTCAGGGACCTGGGAGGACGACCGGCATGAACCACAGACTCGCGGAGCTCCGCCTGGGTTTCTTGGATCGGCTGGACCCCCTTCCCGGAGCGCGGAGCGCGCCGGGGGCGGCGCCGCAGGCGCCGCCAGGGGGGTCCAGCGCCGATCCAAGAAATCCGCGCGGAGCTCGGAGGGTCTACGCCTACATGCGCATATTTCTTCTTCGAGACCTCAGGTGGTACACCTCCACCGAATGCTCGAAGTCCGCGAGCGCCTGGGTGCCCTCCGCGAACTCTGCCTCGAAACCCTCAGCGACGAAGTAGGGCACGGACAGGCTTGCGGTGGTGCGCTGCACGTCGTGCTCGCCTGCGAGGGGTCCTACGCCTAACCTTGCGGCCTTCCTCTTCCTCCTCCTCCCGCCGTCGGGATGGGCGAGCCGCAGGCCCCGCCTGGGTCGTCACCCTGGCCTGTTGGCTTCCACTTGGCTTCCTCTTGCGTGTCGGTGGGTGTGGTTTCCACCTGGAGGGGCAGGATCCTTCCTAGCTTGCTTTCGCCTGTCGGTGGGTGTAGCTTCCACCTGGCCTTCGCCTATCGATGGGTGTGGCTTCCACGAAAGCGGTAACACTCTCTACCCGCATCCCAGTCGACACCCTTGGCAATCCTCCTCCTCCTCCTCCCGCCTCCCCAGAGAGGAGGAGCATAAGCATGAGCATGAACATGACTACATGATAATGTCAAGTCTGACAACCGCGACCACAATCCTCGGGCGTGTGAGCTACGCTGGAGTGCCTCTGGCACGCTTCTCCGCTACACTTAACACCTTGGGCCATTGGCCCTTGGAAACTCTCGTGAGATACTCAACCCTGTTGTGAGCCACTACCTCCAGACATGGCTTGCTGAACTCACGTAGATGCTGGCTGGCGTAGCAGCCGCAACCGACACAACACCACAAACAACTGCCACCGTGAAAGTGCAACTCATGGGACTCATGCGCGCATCCGCCTGCTATGTGAAGCCTGGCCTGTGGAGGTTTCCTGTAAATTTTGCCGTCGCAGTTGAGCATAGTAAAGAGTGGCGATCGGCGCCACTCGGCGAGGTTGCCCTTTGACGCCGAACCCCTACGTCTCGTGCAGCACCGACCACTGTCGTCGAGCGCGTGTGTGGACGAGAAAAGGGCAAGGAAAGTCCCCCCGTGGGTCGCCTGCTGGCAGGCCGCGTCCGTACCGGATGCGCACCCTGTAGAAGACGAGGAAGGGGAGACAACACTACATGGACATAAACAGATGTGCGGGCCTCCGAGAGTTTCTGACCACGCCGTGTTGCTTCCTTCTTTTTCTTCTTCTCCTTCGTCTTCTTCGAGGGAGATGAGGAGGACCCAGACTTCCGATGTCACAGCCCGTCCACCACGTCGAACCCCCCGGGAGGTCTCGACCCCTTCCCCGGGACCGGAACTCTTCCTCCCGAGCCGTTTTGCCTGCCGGTCCCTCATGACCCGAGGGGGTCTGAATTGGGCGCTGATGGTGATGGGCCTGTTTTCCACCACCACCACCACCACCACAGATAGGAGAGGGAGGGGGTCCTCCTCTTCCTCTTCCACCTCCATTTCCTCTCCCTCCTCCTCCTCTCCGTCGACGTCGTCGTCCTCCTCCTCCTCCTCCATCCCCACTCCAACTTATAGTGGAGGTGGTGGTGGAAAACAAGCCCATCATTTGCGGCGCTATCTTCTTCATGGCCCGAGGGGGCCGGAAGGAGGGAGGGCACAGGCGAGCGAGCACCGCTTCCCGCCGCCCATGTCGGAGCCTGTGTGCGTGAAAGAGAAGCGGCCGACCTCCGTGCCGTCGCCCACCTGCTGGCGGCAGCCCACGGGGGGCCTCCCATACAGCAGGAGCTCGACGACAAGACGCCTCCCACAAGAAGTCCAACCCTGAGACCCCAGGACGTCCTTTGACTTTTGGTTGGTGTGGGAACGTCACGCTGTCCATAGCAAAGCCGTCGAAACCCAAGAAACCAAGGGCCACCTGGAGCCAAGCAGGATGTTTGTTGGCAGGGGGTTCCGCTGTACCATGCTTATTGGCTCTTGCGAATCGACGCTGGTCGGCGGCGCATCCATCGACGCCAAGTCGATGCTGAATCGGCGCGGATCAACGCTAAAAGACGCCAAGTCGGCGCTACCTCATCGCTGACCAGACGCTGCTCGACGCCAGTGCACTCCAAAGGCAAAGTTGCGCGGGCACGCAATGCTCCCATGATTTTCGACAAAAGCCCACCTTCTTGGAGCCGAGGGCTGCCTGGTAGAGCTTCGGGTGCCGGCGGCCGAGCTCCTTAATGGTCTGGCAGTTCGCGCGCCTGGCGGCCTCGGCGTCCTTTTTCTTCCTGCCGCCCCGCTGCCTTGAGGGGCAACGACAGGGGAGGATACGCACAGGGGGGATGCGTCGACCTCGAATGGCCGATACATCGCCCATGTATCGTCGATATATCGTCGACGCAGACTGCCCAACGTTTCCATTACACATCGCCGACACATCGGCCTGATAGCAAGGATGCATCGTCAATGCGTTTGTCGATGTATTAACCATTCGAGGTCGATGCATCCCCCGATGCCTTTCCCCCCTATCGTTGCCCCCGATACCTGGATGTCAGCATGTTGTTGTACTCGCAGTCGCTCCTCAAGTCCCTGATGTGGTAGACCTCGACCGACTGGTCGAACTCCGCGAGCTGCTGCGTGCCCTCCGGGTAGTTCGCCTCGAAGCCCTCCGTGACGTAGTAGGGGACGTCCAGGGTGGCGGTGGTGTGCTCGACGTTGTAGTCGCCGGTGCGGGAGAAGGAGAAGCGGCTGCTCGACGAGCCATTGTTGACCATGTTGCTGCCGAAGGACAGCAGGAGCACCAGCAGCAGCGCGATCTGGAACATCGCAGGTGGCTGCTGCCCGCCCTGAAAGCCGAAGTTGAACTGAGTGTGGTGCACGCCGCCTCCCTGGCGCCGTGCGTGCTGCTGCATGCCGCCGCCGAAGAGGAGGTCGAAGAAGTCCTCTGGTGGTCCGGCTTCGGGCTGCGCGCAGACAGCCACCCCAGGTAGTTTACGGCTGGCCTCAGCAGGTCCCCCGAGGTCCAACGGCGCAGTGTTTAGGTGTTGAGACCGCACCAGACTACTCGGAGGGCCTGTTGAGGCCAGCCGGGCCTACTTGAGGGGGCTGTCTGCGCGTAGCCCGAAGCCTCACCATCCTCTGGGGTCGCGAAGTTCTGCTCATAATGCTGGCGGTGCTGCTGGGGGATCTTGTCCTCGTCGCCGTACCTGTTGTACATCTCCCTCTTGTCCCCGTCGGAGAGGCACTGCACCACCTTCGACAACTTCTTGAACGCCTCCTCCGCCCCTGGCGCCCGGTTCTTGTCCGGGTGGAGCTTCAGGGCGAGCTTCTTGTATGCCTTTTTGACGGTTTCCTCGCCAGCGTCCTTGGAGGCCGTCCAAAAGGGCTCTGAGTGAATGGGGTCGGGGGACAGCGCCGCATCGCCGACGCGTCGCCGATGCATCGTCGACGTCGGCGGTGCCTCGGCGACAGCGGCGTGGAGAAAAAGTCGGGCACATCGAGGCGCATCGCTGATGCATCGGCGATGCGGCGCGATCCGCCGACCCCGTCCTATACCCAGACCTTCGACGCCGTGACTTGTCAGTAATGCGCGGATCCCCTGAAGTATAGACCTCTTCCCTGGGACCAAATTCTTCATCCCGAATCGTCTTCTGACGGTCCCGGGGCCTGGCGGAGGCCCCGGGAGGCCGAGACAGACGAATACCCAGACCCTTGATTTTTCCACAACGTCGACCTCAAGAAACCTGGAAACCCTCCCGAGGACTGGTTTGTCGTCCTGGGCCGTTTTTTGACGACCTCAGGGCCCGGCAAGGGCTCCCGGAGGCCGAGAAGAGCCACAAACCTCCTGTCGTGATTTTGTTCACATCGCGAGGGGGTCCGGGAAGCCTCCAGCCGCGATCTCTTCGCAACATGGCACAGGCGGTGGGGGTGCTTCTGTCCCGTTTTAAGCGGCCCGGAGCCTGCGGGACCTCGTGTTGCATCTTCGGGGGGCCTTGTCTGTCGCGTCGCGCCGAGACCCACGTCGAGAACCCGTGTCGAATTCGTGTCCAGTGCGTCGGATCCGTGCCGAATTCGTGTCGAATGCGTGTCGAGACCGCATCGGGCCCGTGTCGAATCCACGTCGAATCCGCGCCGAAGTACAGAAAAAGACTGCCATGTACAGCACAGGAAGGGCCCCCGAAGATGCAAAGTCAGGGACCTCGAGGATCTGGTAGTAGTCCTTGGTCCTCAGGATCCGCTGCACGAGCTGCATCTGCTCAGGCGTGTAGGCGCCGTCCTTGCCCGTGCGCGCGCCGTCCGCTCCCGCGGGCGGCCTCTCACAGAAGGCGTTGGTCTAAATATGGTTCGCTCAAGTTTTATAATGCCTGCACATATTATTTACACAAGGTTACGATTCATACATAATATAATGGTATAGGGAGGTTATCAGTGGACGCCAAGGGGGTCATACCGTGGTTAACTAGCTTTATTAAAAAGGTTACACATGCCCCAGGTGGCTTTGGGGTATTCGACAACTCCGCTAAGTGGGCGGAGCCTGCTTAGCCTGGATCGCTACCCACCAAAAAACAAATAGGGGCATCAGCAACCCACTAATGAGAAAGGTTACGCCAGATAAAACCCACTTTGGCATCCACTAATCAGCCCCCGATCCCCGTAGTAACCCCCGCGCCCATCCCAGCCAGGTTCCTTGGGCGGTCCTGGAGCCCAGCGATGGCCCTGGGTGCCGAGCATAGCAACGTACCTGCCGCCGCTTTTGTTCTTTTGCAGCGAGAGGACGTTTGGCCTTCGGGCCATCACTCGGGCCTCTGGCGGCCGTTCGAGACGATCCAGGCACCCCTGGATCGCCCTCGGCGAGGCGCAGCTGCTGGAAAGTATCGGAGGCTGGGAAACAGGACTGCCAAAAACTTCTTGTTTTTTTCGACACCCTGGCCCTGGACCTCTCGATCCTTTCCTAGGGACCAGTTTTTCATCCCCAGCGGTTTTTGGACGGTCCCAAGGCCCATTGTAGGTAAGGGCCACAAGAGGCCAAAACAATCAAAGAGCTCCGCCTCGGTTTCTTCGAGACGCCGGATGCCTGGGTCGAGCAGACCTCGAACCTTCGCAACGAGAGGGGGGCAGGTGGCGCAGCTACTGGAGAGCACCTGGAGGCTGGAGCACCTCTGGGACCAACGAGGACGAGCCAAAGATCGAATGCCCTGCCCTGTTCAATACGCGGCGCCGGTCTTGCATGCCGAGCTGCTTTTTGACGCTCCCGGGGCCGGGCGCGGCCACCCGGAGGCCGCAAGCGGCGGAAGAGCTCCGAAGTGTTTGCTCCACACGTCGGAGTCCTGGGGCCCGAAAGTAGCTTCGAACAAGGCCTCGAACCTTCGACACTGGAGAGGGGCAGCTGGCGCCCTCGAGGCCTCGCGCTGCTCGCGGACGCCGCGGAGCGCTGCCGCGGCCCCTCCGAGGCGGCCGAGCCCCCGGGCGCGCCCGCGCCCGCCGCGGAGCCGCCCGCCTGCGCCCTCGCGATGAGGCCGTCGATCGAGCCTCGCGAGCGGCGAGCACGTCCGCAGCCGCACCCCCGCGCGGTCCGGCCTCCCGGGCGCACGACCCCGCGGAGACGCGGTCGCACGCGCTCGGCGCGAGGCCTCCGCGCACAGAGCGCCCCGTGTCCGCGGGGTCGCGGCCCAGGGGCCCGGCCCGCGAGGCCGCGGATGCGGCTCTGGTTCTCGCCCGCGAGAGCCGTCGCCGGGGCACATGCGCTTGGCCTTCTGCAGGAACCTGAGGGGGGAACGCTACGGCCCCTGAGACCCTGGCGTCTCAATTTGTTCTCGAGTCGGGCGTCTTCGCCTCTTTTCGGGCCCTGGGGCCCTCAAGGATCGATCCGGCTCGGAGGATGGCGCTGAAAGATGGAGTCTGGGGCTCGCGATGTTTCGCGATGCTGCATCTTTTTCGCAGCGTTGGATCTCAAAGTTTGCGATGGGAGAATTGGCGTGCAAGATCGACCTCCGACAAGCACGCTTATATCCCTTGACCCTCGCGGATCGACCCGACTCGAAGGAACTGCCGACCAAAAAATGGGTGCAGTGCTCCGGTCAAGTTTTCTGTTTCAGCGATGCTTCATTTCCTCGTGGCACCAGATCTCAGGGCACTGGCGGGGGGGGGGGGGGCACATCGACCTAGAATCGGCGACACATCGCCGATAGATCTGCGATAGCCCCCCGACACCAAATCCGCACGCGTTCCTGGGCGAGGGTGGGCTGTTGTCGGGCCCCTGTCGGCGAACAGTGGGCGACAGGGGGCCGATGCGTCTCCCCTGGGCCCACGTATTCCCGCCTCCGGTGGTCGGGCCATGACTCGGGCCTCTGGCGGCCGTTCGGGCCTATCCCGGCACCTCCAGAACGCCCTCGGCGAGGCGCAGCCGCCGGACAGCGTCCCGAGGCTGGAAAGCCGCCAAGAACCCACGAACACGTTTGAAAACCACGAACCTCGAACCTGAGCCCAAGCCCATCCCCCCTTGCAGTCATCGCGCTACCAGAAGGAACTCGAAATGAAAGAACGAAGGGGCTCTTCTAGCCAAGGCGAGCGTCGGCCACGAAGAGGTTCCCTCCTCCTCCTCCTCCTCCTCCTCCTCCTCCTCCTCCTCCTCCTCCTCCTCCTCCAGAACTAGATCGGAGGAACGACCCGAAAATCATAGACACTCCTGAAATCGCCCCCAGACTATTTTTTGACCATTTTTGAATTTTTCCTCCTGCAGAAGGACACGCCCGACTGAAAGCTTACCCCGCCCCAGCGCTGCATCCTGGGAGCCTCAGCGCCTTCTCGGCGTCGCCAGCGGCAAGTGCGCTCTGCGCGACCTGCTTGCACTTCTCCGCCTCGTCCCGGTTCGAGACGTCCGCCATGTCGCCGCCAGGTCTGGGAGGGCCGGGTCGGCCGAATGCCTCGCCCAACGCCCTCTCGATGCGAAAGAATCCCGGCGGGAAGTCTTGACGGTCTTCGGCCCCGTGGGGAGGGGGGGCTGTTGGGGGCTTTGGGTCTCTCCTCCAGGGCTCCTCGGGCTCCTTGGGGGCCTCTCTTGCAGAGCTGGGTTGTCCTGGGGCCTCTCTGGGGCCTCCGGGGAGGCCCCGCTCGTCCCCGGGGCCGTCGAGAGGCAGCTCGGGACGTGGAGCCGGTCCTGCGGAAGGGGCCTACAAACCTCTAGGGGCCCACGTCGTGAAAAGTCACGACGACCGAGTTCGGGGAGGAAAGGCGGGGCCAGCGAATCAGCTCACGCAGAGCTCGAGGAATTTTCTGGCCGGAGGGAGTGAACATTCCTCCTCTTCGTCCCTCCCTGCTCCTCCTCCTCCTCCTCCTCCTCCTCCTCCTCCTCCTCCTCCTCCTCCTCCTCCTCCTTCACATCCTCCCTCCCTCCCTCCCTCCCTCCCTCCCTCCCTCCCTCCTCCCTCCCCCTCCCTCCCCCCCTCCCTCCTCCTCCTCCTCCTCCTCCTCCTCCTCCTCCCTCCTCCTCCTCCTCCTCCTCCTCCTCCTCCTCCTCCTCCTCCTCCTCCTCCTCCTCCTCCTCCTCCTCCTCCTCCTCCTCCTCCTCCTCCTCCTCCTCCTCCTCTCCTCCCTCCCTCCTCCTCCTCCTCCCTCCTCCTCCTCCTCCTTCCTCCTCCTCCTCCTCCTCCTCCTCCTCCTCCTCCTCCTCCTCCTCCTCCTCCTCCTCCTCCTCCTCCTCCTCCTCCTCCTCCTGCTCGCCAAAGGCGGCCGTGCATCGAGGAGTTCACCCGTCGGCGGGACCGACGGCGGCCTCACGCGGCAGCTTTCGCCCACTCCCGCACTCTGCCTATTATACGAGAACCCACGCACCGCACCACGCTGGGACGAGGAGGAGGAGGAGGAGGAGGAGGAGGAGGAGGAGGAGGAGGAGGAGGAGGGTAGCGAGCGCCCAGTGGCCTGCCGAAGAAAAGGGGGAGGAGGAGGAGGAGGATGAGGCTTCCCAGCCAATCCGGTGGTGCTGGGTCCTCGCTTGGAATCCGCAGCGCCCCGCGTCGCCTCGTCTCCTCCCCTCCCTTCCTCCCCTCCTGCCTCGGCTCTCGCACCGCCGCGCCCGATTCGACCTCGTCCCTGGCACGGGCTCCATCCCCACGGGGGAGCTCCACCGAAGGCCCAACCGAGGAAGTCTGCATGGCCCCACCGCGCCCATTTCGCTCGTCCCTGGCACGTTTCCATCGCCACAGGGAGCTCCACCGAAGGCCCGAAATAAAAAGTTTGCATGGCACCAGCGCGCACAGTTCGCTTCCCCATGGTGCGTTTTCCATCCCCATAGGGCGCTGCACCGAAGACCGACGTGAAACAATTGTCATGGCACCACCGCGCCCATTTCGATCGCCACATTTCGGTTGCCCCTTGCACCGAAGGCCCACGTGAAACAGTTTGCATGGCACCACCGCGCCCATTTCGCTCGCCCCTGGTCCACATGAAACAACATTGCAGGGCACCACCGTGCCTATTTTGCTCGCTCTGCTACCCCACCTCCCCCTGCCCATCGTGACCAAATTGTATCACAGTCCTCCCCAAAGGAGCCCCTGAACCCCCCCTCCCCACCGTAACCAGACTTAGTGGAGATGGTTCCGCCTCCCCACAAAGGGCCCGGGGACCCCCTTCCACCCAGAGCGTAAGCAAATTTGGCTACGCCCTCCCCCCCCTCTGGGCCCTGGACCCGCCCCCCCCTCCCCCCCCCCATCGCAGCAACCAAAGTTGATCGTCAGGGCCCCCGGGCCCCCGCCCCCTCCCCGACGCACCGACACCAAAATTGGTTCTGACCTGGCACCTGACCCCTCCCCGACCCCCCCCTCCCCGACGCACCGACACTGACCTGACCTGACACCTCCCCCCGCGAAGGGCCCCTGACTCCCCCCCCCCCCATGAGCACACCCCCCCCCGCCCCCAGGAGGGGCCCCTGGACTCCCCGCCCCCGCCGTAATAACACCGGGTTGCAACATCCACCCCGGAAAGGCCCCATGACCCCCTTCCTGCCGCCCACCTGCCGTAACCAAACTTCGCTACAGCACCCCCCGCCCCCTCGGAAATGGCTCATCTTGCCCTGCCCCTGCCCTACTCTTCGAGCCCCATAGGAGCCCCACGGAAGGCCGACCTCTAAAAGTCCGCATTCATTCGCTCGCCCTTGCCACCCCACACACGTGCCGTGGCCCCATCGGGAGCCACCCCTCCTTCGGCCCACCTGCCTTGCGGCACCCACAGCTGCATACGGTTGGATCCTTCGCCAGGCTGCTTTTTGTCAGGCTCTTGGGGCCGAACAGCCTTGCACCGCACCACTCCTGGGTGGTCGAGGATCGACGACCCCTCGGGGGACGCCAGCGCGGTACCCAAACGTGCGGCGCCTCGATTTGCTTGAAACACGGCCCCCCCGACCTCTCGACCCCCCTTCCCCGGGACCTGCATTTCCTCCCGAGCACTTGTCTGACGGTCCCGAGGCCCGTTTCGCGCCGAAAGCGGTGAACACCCTCCGCCATCCGCCAGGATTCAATGCGAGGTGCCGGATGTCTGGGTACGGTGCGCACATGTGCGGAGCCGACCTCTATACACCGACGCTTTTCCCGGCCCCGAGCTGAAATTCGCCCAGGAAAGCGGATCCCGCTGTAAACGGGGTCCTGGTGTATACATTGATCGCTGCATCCCCAGGAAGGCGGGAAAACCAGTATACAGTACGCCACACCACCCCGACGTCCTCCCCGACCCTCCAAGAAGGCCTGGGATTGAAAAACAGCCCGCCACTGTGAATGTACCTGTTCCAGCTTCCGGGCACGTCCTCCGCGGGCCAGCCCCCAGTCGGCCGACCCGATCTCGGAGGGGCCCAGCGCTGCAGCCGCCGCGAGCGGCCCCTGAGGGGCGCCAGTGCGCGGCGCGGGCCGCGCGCCGGCCGGCGCCCTGGAGCCGGAACGGCCGCGGAGGGATGGTGCTGGCGGTCGGTGGTTCGAGGATGGGGTCCTGAGGGATAAGCAGTACGAGTGCCTTTGACCCCTTTGGGAGGGGCCTATAGTTAGGAGGGCCACGTCTTCATGATGTCATTTATCTTAGGGATCCTTGTTTCCTCGACGACTGGCGGTCGGTGGTTCGAGGATGGGGTCCTGAGGGATTCGCAGCAGAAGTGCCCCTAACCTTCTGGGAGGGGGCCTATGGTTAGCAGGGCCCACAACATTAGGGAGAGGGGGTCTCTTTTTCCTGCAGAGTCATCGAGCCAAACCGCCCAGACTTAGTATCCCGAATGCGAAGACGGGGACCTCAGTGAGGCCACGTCTTCATCATGTTATTAATGTGAGGTGTCCTTTTCTCCTCGACGACTGGCGGTCGGTGGTTCAAAGATGGGGTCCTGAGGGAGGGAGTCCTACGGACGAGGTGTCTCAAGCCGTGTAGATCCACTCTGGGGTCCACCCTGTCATGGGGGACCCCATCCCTCAGGAACCCATCTTTGAACCACCGAGGCGGGGAGGGCCCCTGGCATGGGAGGGGAGGGCGCCCGGCAGAGCAAGCACGGCGCAGCCCCCCCATGCCTCCCTTGAGATCCTGGCGTCAATTCTTCCACCGCTGGCATTTTCGGCCAATTTCGGGCCTGGGGGCCCTCACAGATCGATCTGGCTCGGAAAATGGTGCAGAAAGATGTGGTCTGGAGCTCTAGCAACACTTGCTCACGATGTGATTTTTGTTTGCGCCCTCGGATCTCAGGGCTTCCCTCATGGTGAACAAAAAACCACCACGGGAGGTCTTTCACTATTTTCGGCCTCCTCGCCGGGCCCCGGGACCATCAACAAACAACTCGGGGCGAAGAATGGGTCCCATGGAAGGGATCCAGACCTCTGGGGGTCCACGTAGTGAAAAATTATCCCGGCAAAGCAACCGAACAGCGATGTGTAGGAGCATATCTGGAAGCATTCCCCTTAAGATTCAGATGAGAATCCAGTTGTAGAATTCTGCTGTTCTCGCAGTCGTAGTCGCATTCGCGATGACAGTCGCAGTGCCAACGGCAGTCGCAGTCACAGCCTCAGCCTCAGCCTGCCTCAGCCGCAGCCTCAGCCAGCCTCAGCCTCAGCCTCAGCCTCAGCATCAGCCTGCCTCAGCCTCAGCCTCAGCCTGCCTCTGCCTCAGCCTCAGCCTGCTTCAGCCTCAGTCTGCTCAGGCCTCGCCGCCTCCTCGGCCTCAGCCTCAGCCTGCCTCAGCCTCAGCCTCAGCCTGCCTCAGCCTCAGCCTGCCTCAGCCTCAGCCTCAGCCTCAGCCTGCAGCCAGCCTGCCTCAGCCTCAGCCTCAGCCTGCCTCAGCCTCAGCCTCAGCCTCTTCAGCCTCAGCCTCAGTCTGCCTTCAGCCTCGGCCTCAGCCTCAGGCTGCCTCAGCCTCAGCCTGCATCAGCCTCAGCCTCAGCCTCAGCCTCAGCCTGCCTCAGCCAGCCTGCCTCAGCCTCAGCCTCAGCCTGCCTCTGCCTCAGCCTCAGCCTGCTTCAGCCTCAGCCTCAGCTGCTCAGCCTCGGCCTCAGCCTCAGCCTGCCTCAGCCTCAGCCTGCATCATCAGCCTCAGCCTCAGCCTCAGCATCTCAGCCTCAGCCTCTGCCTCAGCCTCAGCCTCGCCTCAGCCTCAGCCTTCAGCCTCGCCTCAGCCTCAGCCTGCCTCAGCCTCAGCCTGCCTCAGCCTCAGCCTCAGCCTGCTTCAGCCTCAGCCTCAGCCTCTGCCTCAGCCTCAGCCTCGGCCTCAGCCTCAGCCTGCCTCAGCCTCAGCCTGCATCAGCCTCAGCCTCAGCCTTAGCCTGCCTCAGCATCAGCCTGCCTCAGCCTCAGCCTCAGCCTGCCTCAGCCTCAGCCTCAGCCTGCTTCAGCCTCAGCCTTAGTCTGCCTTCAGCCTCGGCCTCAGCCTCAGCCTGCCTCAGCCTCAGCCTGCCTCAGCCTCAGCATCAGCCTGCCTCAGCATTCAAAATGTGGCCCGGGAGTGAAATTCTGGGAACTCGAAGAACACGAAGTGGCCTACAGTTGGCTCCGGGCATTCAAAATCATGCCCAGGAGTGGATTTCTGGGAACTCGAAGACCACGAAGTGCGTTACTGCGGGCTAAAAAAGAGCCCCCGGCATCCTCCCCCGGATCGCGCCCAGACCCCCCTGGGGCGTCAAGATGCTCTCGTTTGACCCTACTAGAAACCTATCAGTCTTCGGTGTTAGGTAAAAACGCTACGTCGAAGTTCTGGGGTGCACCGGCGGCGGTGGCGGCGGTAGCGGTTCTGGCGGCGAAGGCGACGGCGGAGACAGCAGCAGCACTGGCAGCATCAGCCAGCAGCGGGGACGAGCACCAGCCTCCAGCGGAATGGAGGCAGCGAGTGTCAGCAGCGCCATTCCGATGCGCAGGGTGGAGAGGGCGGAGGAGCTTGCAACGTTCCATAGACTTGCCATGCTTCATATGGCGATGCTTTGCGACACACCTCTTGCTTAAAGTTGAGTTGTGTTGCATTGCGCTGCTTCGCTTCCCGTTGTGTTGACTTGCTTTTCTTTGAATGACATTGGTTCATATTGCGTCGTGTTGAGTTGTTTTGCGTTGCCTTGTATTGCTCTGGTCCCTTTTCCTTGGCTTTGCATGGCGTTTCGACGCTTTGAGAGGCATCGCGATGCTTTGCGTTAAACTGCGTTGCGTTGAAATGCATTGCATTGTGCTGCCTAGCTTAGCAACGCATGTCTTTGGAAAGAACATGGGGCTCTTATTTGGGATCGCGCTGGGATCGTTTTACAAAACGAGCATGTGCCACAATCGGGGCGTAGTTGTGCCAGACGCTTCGTGCTAGGACGAGAAAATATTGTAGGCGGACAGGCGACGACTCGAGGGGAAACAAACCCCTCTGTTCACAGGCGCCCCTCCCTTCACAGGGCGGGCGCGCCCTGACTGGAATGCTCTCTGACATCAACTTAGCCATAGCTTCTCTCTGCCCAATCCAAGGCCAGGGGCGCTTTGCAATCCTGGCCTGGAGAAGAAAGGGTCCTGGTGGAAACGGGTCCTGATGTCGGGGCCTTTGGGAGCCAGAGAAAAATTCAAAAAGCCTCCCAGGCCCCTGTACCCGAAGACCAGGGTCCGCTCCCTTCGCGCAGGCGCCCGCCCAGGAACGGCGCCGCGGCCTGCCCGAGTTCCCGTGCTCGTACAGCAGCGTCAACATGGCCGGGTCCTCACAGACCGACTTCAGAAACTCCAGGGAGGTGGCCCGCTGCCACGGAGACCTGCGCGCGGGGCGCCCGCGCACCGCAAGAGAGGGAGGGTCAGAAGGCGAGCACCACCTGCAGCACAGCGGCGGCGGGACGGCCACGGCGAGGGCGGCCACCGCGGCCAAGGTGGCGACGGCTGCGGCGACGGCATGGGCAGGACGACAGGGCTGCTGCATGGGCAGAGCCGCCAACGGTGATCGCGGTCGAGCCTGGCAGTCACAGCATCGTCCGAGAAGAGGCAGCGGTGCCTGCGACGGCGGCACCCGCAGAGGCGTCGAACAGGAGCGGTGTAAGCGGCGTTGGCGGCGGCGATGTGGGCGGCTCAGGGGGGGGGGGGGGGCAACACGCAAGCTACCGCTCGGCGCTCGTCAGGTCCAGCATGAGGTGCAAGAATATCTGGACCTCTCGACGTGAAGGCTCGCAAAACCGCCCCCGTCATGCTCGCACTGCGCCCCCGCGCCCCGCTGCTGCGCACAGATTTTCTCCAGCAATCGCTCCACCATGCCATGTCTTATGGCCTCCGCCTCTGCGCCCCGCTCCGCTGCCCCTCCGTCCCTATCCTTGTGCCCACTGCACCCTCCATCTCCCCGCCTGGGCCGAGAGTTAGGTCGGGCATGTTCCCCTACAGGCGCATCTTGGGCGAAACATGAAAATATCCCAAACGTATTCGACAACATTCGGGAATAGTTTGTTTAAAACGTCCCCAGACTTGGTTATCCTTATCATTATTTATTACTACCTTTTCATATAAAGACGAACTAGTCTTGAATGTTCCTCCTGTAGAGGGGGAGGCCCGACTTGGGCCTAAATCGGGCTCTTCCCCTGGCCTTCTTCGACACGCTCGCCCGCCACGTGCCAGCTGCTTGCTCTGGGCGCTGCGACGCCCCCCCCCCCGTGCACGATTCGCCGGCCCTCTGGAGGGCATTGGCGTTGGTGAGGCCTTCCCCTTCCTCCACCGCGGGGTCGACTTGCGCGACTGAGCGGGGGGGCGAGAAGGGCTCAGCAGCCCTGGGCCTCGAAGGCCAGCGCGTGACAGCCCACGAAGACGCCTAGACGCCACTCAGAGACGGTCCGGGATAGCCGCGAGAGGCATCATGTGCCGATCTTTGAGGGCCCAAAACTACGCTGCATCCTCGGGGGACCTTGTCTGTCCCGTCGCGGCCCTATCCGCGTCGAATCCGTGTCGAATCCATGTCGGAATCGTCGGGTCCGTGTCGGATCCGCGTCGGATCATCGTCGAACCCGCGCCAAATCCGCGTCGAGTCGTCATCGGGCCCGCGTCGGGCACAAGAGAAGGCACTATTTTGGGGATAGGCGAGGCCCGCAGCCAGAGGTGCCAATAGCTTCTGCGGGTACGTGGCGCCCTCGGGGGACGAGAGAAAATCTTGTGGGGCACCCGCCGGCAGGCCGATGTCTTATCTATGGAGATCCTCCTCCTCCTCCTCCTCCTCCTCCTCCTCCTCCTCCTCGTTCTCCCCTCCTCCTCCGCCTCCTCCTCCTCCTCCTCCTCCTCCTCCATCCCTCGTGCGACCCAAGAGGCCTTACCTCGCTCGGGCGGAAGATCCAGCGAAGCCCAATGTTCTTCAGCAAGCGAGGGGGGGAAGTGAGAAGGAGAAGGCCCTCTCAGGAGGCGGCGGGGCGTCCGAGGGCCTTCTCCTTCACAAATGTCCCCCCGGGCTGGCCGCCGAAAGATGGCCCCAGACAACTCCCCAAGACGGCCCACGACTGCCCTCAATAGGCACCCGGGCGGCACCCGGGCGGCCACCCAAGACGGCTCCGCGAGGGCCTGGAACACTCCCGGGGCCCAAGCGCGTTTCCGCAAGGGCCTCGAACGGCCTGAGGTAAACCGAAACAGAGAGAGAGAGAGAGAGAAGTAAAAACATAGAAAGAGCGAGAGAGAGAGAGAGAGAGGGAGAGGGAGACCGTCTTCGCGCCCTCTGGGTGCAGTTGAGGGCAGCCCCTCTCCCCATGCTAATTACCACCCCAGAGCTCCGATGTCGTGATTCCACATTGTAGAATCCTGGAGATATGGACCCCTTCCCTGGAACTGTTTTTCATCCCGAATATTTTGTGACGGTCCGGAAAATGAGCATCCGGCCCTTGGGGAGGGGTTCGTATCTCCGAGGATCTCAGTTCTGCACAAAAATACGACGTCGGAGTTCTCGGTCGCCCATCCCCCGCCATCCTTCGTTCTCTCTGCTTCCCCCCTCCTCCAGCTCTTCCCCCCCTGGGTCGGTGGCACGTTCTTCAAACAGATGCTCAATGAGCCCACGCCAGCAAAAGAAGTCGCGGCTTCCTCGTGATTCCCGCTGCTGCCCCTCCTCCTCCTCCTCCTCCTCCTCCTCCTCCTCCTCCTCCTCCTCCTCCTCCTCCTCCAGCCAGTCTCGTCTTCATCCTCCTATCTATCCCGCTAGTGCTGTAAAACTTTCGAGGGTCAATGAAGGATTCATGCACAGCGCCCTGATCGCACGCAAGTGTCGTTAACCAAGATGCGCCCCGTGACCACGCAGGGGGATGCTGTTGGAACACCCATACACCCTACAGTGAAGCCGCGCTCACCATCTACCTCAGAAAACAAAGCTTCTGCTCGTGGTGCTCCTCCCTCTCCCTCCTGCTTTCTCCATCCTCCCTCCTTCTCCATATCCCCTTCCTTTTCCCTCCTCCCTCCACCATCCTTACTGCTACCTTCTCCCCCCCTCGGTGCTCCTTCCGCCCTCTTTTCCCGTGCTCTCTCCTCCCTCGTCCCTCGTCCTTCCTCGTCTCCTCCCTCCCACCTCCAGCCCTCCTCCTCCCTCCTGTGCGCTCTCTTCCCAAACACTCCCGCCACGTGCCAACCGGAGCAGTGCTTGCATATCTTGAACTCCGCACCCCCCACGCCAACACCGGCGCGAGAGGAGCCCAGTGTATATCGAGCGAACCTCCCTCCCGGTCTGCTGACAAACGGAGGATGGGCGCGGGGGGTGCTAAGGGGATACGGAGGGTTATTAGTGGATGCCAAGGTGGCCCAGACGACCTCGCGCTGCGACAGAAATCACGATGGAGGTTTTTTGCTATGTTCGGCCTCCAGGGGCCCTCGCCGGGCCTCGGGACCGTCAAAGAACAGCTCAGGATGGAAAACCAGTCCAGGGGGAATGGGTCAAGACCTCTGAGGGTCCAGGCTATGAAGAAATCATGGCGTCGGAAATCTAAGGGGACAGGGGGGCTATCAGTGGACGCCCACGGGGTTATACCTGGCGTAAGCTAGCGTACAAGTGGGCGACCCCTGCCCCAGGCGGCTCAGGGGGATTAGACAACTCCGCCGAGTTGGGCGGAGCCCACTTCGCCTGGACCGCTGTCCCCCCCAAGCCACCTGTGGCACTAACAACCCACTGATGACCTAGGTGAGGCCAGATAGAACCCACCTTCCAATCCACTGTTACCCCCCCTCCATTAGGAACTCGACCACAAGAAACCTTCAACAAGAAGCCCAACCCTGAGACCCCAGGAAGTCCATTGATTGTTTGGTGTAGAAACGTCATACTTCCCAAGGCAACATCATCGAAACCCAAGAAACCCATGGCATCCTGGATGCAATCAGGGTGTCTCGTGCCATGAATTTCCACCGTATCCCTTCAGCACCCCCCGCGCCCATCCCGGAAGAGGACAAGTCCTCTGCGACACACGGGGCGTGTTTTTTGTTGTTGTTGTTTTTTTTTTCATCCGGGGGCCAGAGGCGCCGCAAGTGTGGTCTACAGCGCAGATCTCAGATGTCAGCGCGGACCGTCAAAGGCTTCTGTTCATGCAGTTCGTGGGCGCACGAGCCCCGAACTGGCTCCCGAATTGGAAGCAAAATCTTTCAACGTTCGCCTGGTGCAGCGTCGTGTTCTCGCGTCCGTGCATCAGAGCGGAAGCTGTATAGCGCCCGACTCTCAAACAGGCTCCAGCGACGCCGCAGCGACGACGTACGTCGCAGGAAGAAGCAATTGCAGCAATTCTTGTTTCTTCGATGTCGGTAGCCACGCAGAGACGACGACGACGACGACGACGACGACGGCGGCGACGACGACGACGACGACGACGACGACGACGACGACGACAACGACGACGACGACGACGCCGACGACGACGACTGATCGTCGCAGCATGGAGCCTGGCGGGTGCCGACCCAAGAGAACCATATTCGATCCCGGCGCTCCCAGGCGCTCCCAAGCGCTTCCCAGGCGCTCCCATCCTTCTCCTCCTCCTCCTCCTCCTCCTCCTCCTTCTCCCTCCCTCCCTCCCCTCCCTCCCTCCTCCCTCCCTCCCTCCCTCCCTCCCTCCCTCCCTCCCTCCCTCCTCTCCTCCCTCCTCTCCCTCCCTCCTCCCTCCCTCCCTCCCTCCCTCCCTCCCTCCCTCCCTCCCTCCCTCCTCCTCCTCCTCCTCCTCCTCCTCCTCCTCCTCCTCCTCCTCCTCCTCCTCCTCCTCCTCCTCCTCCTCCTCCTCCTCCTCCTCCTCCTCCTCCTCCTCCTCCTCCTCCTCCTCCTCCTCCTCCTCCTCCTCCTCCTCCTCCTCCTCCTCCTCCTCCTCCTCCTCCTCCTCCTCCTCCTCTCCTCCCTCCTCCTCCTCGTCCTCCTCCTCCTCCTCCTCCTCCTCCTCCTCCCTCCTCCCCCTCCTCCTCTCGCCTCCTCCTCCTCCTCCTCCTCCTCCTCCTCCTCCCCATTCTCCTCCTGTCGCCTTCTCCTCATCCCTCCTTCCTCGAGCCATGCCAGCCCCTCCGATCCTCGACGGCGAGGCCCCATTGCTCGACGCCTCTCGTCGCCCTGCCCTTCTGCTCCGCCTCCTCCCTCCGAGTGCCTCCTGCTTCTCCCCTTGTCTGCTCCTGCAGGAGGAAGACGAGGAGGAGGAGAAGGAGGAGGAGGAGGAGAAGGAGGAGGAGGAGGAGGACGTGGAGGAGGAGGAGGGGGGGAGTATGGGGAGGAAGAGAAGGAGAAGAAGGAGGAGAAGGAGGAGGGGGAAGATCATCCCACTGCTCCTCTTGCACCCTCCCCCGCCCCTTTCCCTCGGTCGGGCGCGGGCCTCGTGCATGAGGAGCGCTGCGACCCCTGGGGCCCTCGTGATCTGCTGCAGCAAGTGCACGCTGCGTATCTGCCCCGGGTCTGGAGAGCTAGGCCCTGTCTCCTTCTCTTTCCCCCTTTCTCTCTCTCTCTCTCTTGGTCTCTCCCTCTCCCTCTCCCTGTCCCTCTCCCTCCCCCGTCCCTCTTCCTCTCTCTCTCTCTCTCCTTCTCTCTCTCTCTCTCTTTCTCTCCTTGTCTCTCTCTCTCTCTCTCACTCTCTCTCTCTCTCTCAAACTCGCGTGCACAAGCGCTCTCCGTAGGCTCCTGTACGCACGACTTGCTCCCATGCTCTCCTTAGGCTCTCCTTAGGCTCCTGTCTCTCCTCTGCTGTTGTTCCCTCGGGCTCGTGCCCGCACCCGCGCTTGCGAGGCGCAAGCGCGGGGCGGTGCCCGAGGGCCTCTGGTCTGCAGTGGCTCGCCTGCACCTCAAGGGAATCAGCAAAAATATTGAGAACTGAGACAGAAGAAACAACAACAGCATCAACGACAACAACAACAACAGCAACAGCAACAGCAACAGCAACAACAACAACAACTACAACTACAACATCAACACCACCAATAGCAACAACATCATCAACAGCAGGAGCAACAATAACAATCATCAACACCAAGACCAGCAACAGCAACACCACCAACAACCCAACGGCAACACCAGCACCAACACCACCACCACGACCAACAACAACACCACCACCACCACCAACAACAACAACAACAACCGCAACAGCAGCAACAACCGCAACACCACCAAGCCACCAGCAACATCATCACCACCACCACGAACAACAACAACAACGGCAACCACAGCAACGCCAAAACCAACGAACCAAACACATCGACAGCAGCAGCAACAGCAACAACACCACCAACAACCACAACACTAGCACCACCACCACCACCAACAACAATCGTCAACAGCCGCATCGGCAACAACACCACCACCAACAACAACAACCAACAACACCACCACCAACAACAACACCACCACCACGACCAACAACAACAACAACAACAACAACAACAACAACAACAACAGCACCATCACCAGCAACAACAACAACACCGCAACGAGCCCAACAATCCGAACAGGCAGACCTCCACTTGCTTAAAAGGAGCACAGAAACCGCACGTCCTTCCGGATAGCGGGAAACGGACCTCGATCCTCGAACCTCCTCCTCCTCCTCCTGCTCCTGCTTCTCCTGCTCCCTCCCTCCCTCCCTCCCTCCCTCACTGCCTCCCTCCTTCCCTCCCTTCCTCCTCCTCCTCCTCCTCCTCCTTGTCCTCCTCTTCCTTCTCCTCCTCCTCCTCCTCCTCCTCCTCCTCCTCCTCTCCTCCTCCTCCTCCTCCCTCTCCTCCTCCTCCTTCTCCTCCTCCTCTCCCCTCCTCCTCCGTTCTTTTTTGGGCGCCGAGATCTGTTTCGAAGCACGGCCTTCCCCGGCCTCTCGACCCGCCTCCCCCGCCTCTCGACCCCTCGCTGCCCCACAAGCGGTCTTTCCTCCCGAGCCGACTTTGACGGTCCCGATCAGGCCCGTGTTGAGGGCCCCGAGAGGCCCAGATTTCACAGATACCCCATGTTGTCCGAGCCCGATGTTGTCTTAAGATGAGAGGCACAAGCAGACAAGTGTTGGGGTGTTCGCTCGCATTTCTTGGGTCGGCGCGGGGCCCCCCCTCGCTGGCGCGCGGAGCGTGCCAAGGGCGGCGCCAGAGGGGCCGCCAGAGGGGGTTCAGCGCCTAGGGAAGACCTCCGCCTCGATTCTTTCGAGGCGCTGGGCGTCTGGGTCGAACCTCGTCGTCGGTCGTCGCCCTCTTCCCGAAAAGGCCACGGCCCGAAGCCAGGGGAGGCCAGCTGGGGCGCCCTAGCACCAGCTCGAGGAAGCTCGTGGATCGCCCGCCGCCGCCCTCACCGACGACGGCGCCGGAGGCCCTCGTCGTCGTCACGTCGTGGCCGCGGTAGCTAGACGTCCGTCGCGGCATGCTCCCCAGATCTCCGACGAGATGCCTTTGTTAAATGCTGGCGCCCTTCCCTCACTGTGGCCTCCCAGGGTATTTTTCGGGCCCCAGGACCATCAAAACTGGAGCCGGGACGCAAAACTGCCCCCGGGTGGGGATCTCCGTGACAAAATCAGATCGGAGGATGTGTCGGTCTCCTGATGTAGCGATTTCTTCATGACGACGACCCCCAGAGGTCGTGACTCATTCCCTGGGTCCAGTTCTTCACATCCTGGATCATTGTTTGACGGCCCCGAGGCCCATAAAGGCCACCGGAGGCCTGACATTAGGTCGGGCATGGCCTCCAACAGGCGGTTTGTGGACGAATAATCTAAAGAGTCGAAAAGTATTCAAGATTAGTACAAAGAGTACAGAAAATCGTCCCCAGACGATTTTAGACTATGCTCAAATACTCCTCCTGTAGAGGGACATGCCCGACTTAAGCCTGACAGCTTAGGAACAACTCAAATCGTGATTATTTGTTCGTGACTCGAGAGGGTCTGGGTCGTGGGATGGATCCCTTCCCACGCGCGCGCGCGCCAGGATCGCGAAGTCGTAGCAGCTCTGCAGGTTCTTCAGCAGCGCGGCGCCTCGGGCCCTCATCGATCACCCCTCCCCGCTCTGTCGTGCCTTCTGGCCCCGCTCCTCCAAGCGACTCTATGGCAAAACTCGTGCTGTGCCGACGTCGGCGCCGGTTTCTAACACCGCGGGGATCGTTCAGCCTTCCCAGACCCCCTCTGGTCATGAGGAAAGGATGACAAGAGGTTTTTCCCCAAATTCGGCCTCAGGAGGCCCTTACCAGCCCTCGGGACCGTCAAACAACGACTCAGGGTGGAAAACTGGTCCAGGGGAATGGGTCGACACCTCCAAGGGTGGACGATATGAAACAAATCATGACGTCGGGGGTCTGGGTTACAGTTTACAATCAACCCGTATCATAAGGATGCGCGCGCGGTAAGGATGCAAGGGCCTTGGAGGCCCATGCTACAACCTGTTTCGAACGAGGTTGGCCAGCGAGAGTCGCTAAGGATGGGCCGACGGGGCAATGATGCAAGGGTAGCCTTGGGAAAGTTGCCCATCCTTAGTATGCGGGTTGCCTGCAAGGGGACTCGGGTTGGCCCGACGGGGCTGTCTTGAGAATGACGCGACCCCGGCTGAAACCTGACGCGAACTCCCGCGGCAAACGTCCCACGAACACTGGACCGTCCAAATCCGGGACGCGCTCGTCCAAGCGAGCGGGAGGAACCAGCGAGGGGGAGCCCCCTGGTGGAGTGGCCCCCCCTCACGCTCGAGACGTCCCGTATCCCCAGCTCGGGCAAGCATCGTGGACCTTCTCGCTGGACCCAGACGCCCGACATCATGATTTTTGCATACGTCGACCCTCAGAGGTCTCGAGCAATTCCGTGGACCGGTTTTCCATCCTGAGTCGTTTTTTGACGGTCCCGAGGGCCAGTTAGGGCGTCCAGAGGCCGAAAATTCGGAAAAAACTAAAGTCATGCTTGTTTCATTGCCCGAGGGGGTTTGGGGAGGTGGCCTGCTGGTGGTGTTGGTGTCGCTTCTCCTTCCCCCCCCCAGGACGTGGTTTGGCGTGCCGCGCCCGCGCGCAGTGGGCACGATCCCGGCGGCGCGGCCCGCCAAGCAACAGCTCCCCGACCGTCGGGCAATGCCCCACCACCCTCTCGACGCTCCCGTCGCGGCGGCGTCGTCGTCGTCGTCGACGTCGTCGTCGACGTAGTCGTCGTCGTCGTCGTCGTCGACGTCGTCGTCGTCGTCCCCTCTGTTCCCTTCCCACCTTGCCCCTGCTCCTTGAGGTCGCCGAATCGAGTTCGCGTCGTCCTCGCCGCCTCTGTCGCTCTCTCTCTCTCTCTCTCTCTCCCTCTCTGCTTCTCTCTCTCTCTCTCTCTCTCTCGCTCTCTGCCCACCCCCACCCCTGCACTGCGCTCCCCGTCACCCCGCGCCCGCCGCCACCCCTGCCCAGGAATGCCTACCTTGGGTCCGTCTTCCAAGCCCATCGTGCTCCACGCACGTGCGCAGGAGCTTTTCTCTTTCGAGGGTTGGACATCCCAGCGATTGCCTCCCCAATCGGCGCGTAAGAGATACTGCGTGAAGCAGGCGGGAAAAACGAGCGGAAGTTCGGACAGTTAAGATCCTGTGGGGTCAAGGTTCAAACGAAGAGGAGAGGAGGGCGAGAGAAGGGAACACCGCCCTTCGAGAACAACAGGGGACCCCCGATAGTTGGTGTGCACCTTCTCAGTTGCCTGCTCAAAGGTTGCCAAGCCCATGGAGGACGGCTTTCACAGCGGGCAAGATCCCACCTGCAAGCGCCGGTTTTCATATGGCCGATTCCGGAAACCCTGAGCCCCAAAATGTTTTCACTCGTTGGGGGCGCATGTTTTGACTTCCGCTACCTTCCACCACCCCTTCGCAAACTTCCGCCGGCGAAGCCGGCCTCGTTCTACTTCCGCCGCCTTCCGCGGCGGAAGAGATGCAACTCCTTCGACCCTCGGAGGCAAGGCCATGTTTGAAACGCCCCATATTCCAGCTGGTTGCGAACAAGTCCTGCTCCCGCTCTTCCCTCCCCGCCCACGCGCGCACGAGCTGAGCGGCCGGAAGCCCCAAGGCGGGCGCAGATGTTGTGGCGCAGCAGCTGGAAACACTCCGGGCTGGAGGCGAAGATGGCGGGGTGCGAGGCGACGCAGACGCCTGCGCGCGAGAACGCCCTGCGCGCCACGTGCACCAGCTGCTCCCCCCAGAACTCCGACGAACGTGGTGCTTTTTACAGTGTGGACCGCCAGAGAACTCGTCAGCGCCCTCCGACGGATACTCCTCTACTGGGTACCTTGGCCAGCGACCCGGCGAGCCGAACCTTCCCCGATGCGGGCAACGCAGCAACGCGCGAAAGGGGACCTGAGATAGCAACTTTCTGCGGGTTGCCAAAACGTCCGTCAGTCAATACGCACTGCGATGCCGCTGATCTGGACCCATTCCTAAATCAGCAAGACAAGTACCCCTGATCGTTGGGGAGGGGACCCAAGCTAGAAGAGCCAAACACATGAAGGATAGGGGGTCTTTGTTGCAGATGTGTTACGAAACTACCCATCTGTGTAGGGATACCCCTGAAAAGCGTGGATCCAAGTTAGGCCACGAATCCATTGTCTCATGAGGGTTGAGGGTTGTATGATGCTCAGTGTATGCCCGAGACTGGTTCTCATCCTGGGTACTTGGTCGACTGCCCCGCAGGGCCCGGGCGAGGGGGGGCCCAGGAGGCCGAACATCGCCCCCCGCCGTGTTTTCCACGGCGGTCAGTGTTGGGGAGACCAGCTGCGCGACGCTCAAGAAGGGGTCTCACGCGAGACGGCACAGCGACCTTACGCCGCGGTTTACGCTGGCTGCCAGCGCGGCACACCACATTGGAAATGAGGGCGCTTACGCGAGCCCTTTACGAACTGCTCTCACAGAGCTGCTTCTGTACGATCCCAGGGCCCAGCGAGGGCCCTCAGAGGCAGACGCTAGGTCAAGACCCCATGATTCTAGTTTCCACGGGCCCTACTGGATGTCCTGTTGTGGCCCTCGTGGGGTCCCCCGAGACACGACAGTGCTTCACCGGGCACCTCCTCCATCGCCGAGTCGTGACGCTTAAGATGGGGGCGGGCATCCGCCGCCGCGCCGCAGGTCCCCGGAGGCCGCCCCGCGGAGGTGCCCGCGGATGGCAACGCCCGGAGGCCCTGAGAAGCCCCGCCGCCTTCTGAGAGGGCCACCTCCTTCTCATCTTCCCCCTCGCCCGCCGCTGGGACAAAAACCACGATGGGGGAGGCTTTGGATACTTTTCGGCCTCTGGAGCCCTGGCTGGGGCCCTGGGGCCGTCAAAGCAGGCCTCGGGAAGAAGAGCTGGTCCCGGGGAGGGAGTGCTGCCAAGCACTACAGCTGCTCGCCGTCCAGGTCCCAAATCGGTGCCTGCCTTGCCCGCAGGCGGCCAGCGTCAGGGCGGGTCACCTCGGCCGCTGGCGTCGCGAGGGGCCGGGGCCCTCGCAGGCGCCATCGGAGATCGATGCGCCCAAGGGCCCCGGAGATCCTGAAGCGCTTCTGGCTCGCGGGCAGCATCACGCCCCACCCATGGCGAAGACGAGAATGGCCACTGATGGGGCCGTGATAGAGAAAGCGGATGATCACGAGTGCATGAAGGATTTGTGTTTCAATCTCTCGCTCTCTCGTGCCTGCGAGCCCACCCGTCAGGGCTGCGTGCCCGAGTGCTGGTGTGAGGCCAGGGCCAGTGCAGCTCGGCAGAGAGCGGTCATGGGGCTGATCGTCAGACAGTGGCATACAGTGCGTCTCAGGATCCTTGCGAATCCTCGGCAGCGTTGCTTGCGAAGTCAGGCCCGGTTGGTTGAGGGATCTGCTGGATTCCCAGAATTCCAATCCAGTCCAGTCTCCATCGCCTGCATCATATACGGCCGTCGGAGGCCGCCGTGACGCCGTTTCATGGCCCAGGCCGGCTGGAGGGCCCGACCGGGGGCGTCCAAGAGGGGGGCGTCCAAGAGGGGGGGGCGCAAATCATGTCAGGCGGCACGTGCGCGGCCCAGTGGGGGCGAGGGGCCAGGGACGTTCTGAAATAAAGAGAGGCGCCATGAGATCTGGGGAGAAATCATGGTCCCAGCCATGATATCCACCCCCCGCCTGGTCATCACTCCCCTCTTGGCCGCCCCCGACCCAATGCCGAGAAGGACCCCTCCCCCGGCCCCAGGACAGGGAGGTCCTCGGGGTACGGAGGGCAGGGGAGGGGCGCGGCGGCGGCCGCAGGGAGGGCGACCGCGGCAGCGAGGGGCGCCGATGCCCGACAGCGGCGGCGAGGGCCCAGGACTCCGACCCCACGATGTGTGTGTGTGTGTGTGTGTGCGTGTGTGTGTGTGTGCGTGTGTGTGTCATTCAGTGGAGGCCAGTCCACAAGAAACCGTCCACGAGAAACCAAACCCTGAGACCCCAGGACGTCCCTTATGTTATGGCGTGGGAGCCTCATGCTTTCCATCGCAAAGTCATCGAAGCCCAAGAAAACCAGGGCTCCCTGGAGGCAAGCAGGGTTTCTTGGCATGGGCCTCCACTGGAACGCGGCCCCGTTTTCGGCATAGCAAACAGATCCAACGCAAACATCCACCAACATCGATCGAGGATCACGTAGAGCCGCTTCCCCGCAAGGGGGGCTGTAACCGCACCCCTCGGAGAGCCGCCGCCGCCGCCCAAGAACCTCTCGCGCTGTGGACCAGTCACGACGGGAGGTTTTTCGCTATCCTCGGCCTCTGGGGACCCTCACCAGGCCTCGGGATCATCAAAACATCGGCTCGGAATGACAAACATTTCCTGGGGAAGGGGTCCAGACCTCTGGGGGTGGACGCCGTGACAGAGGCGCGACGTCGGGGGTCCGGGTCTGGACCCCTCCCCCAGGACGAGATGTTCAATCCCGAACTGTTTCTGTGGACGGCCCTGGGGTCCGGCGAGGGCCCCGGGGCATGAAAACTACCCCCAACCTTCCTTCCAGTTCTTGTCGCTACCAGGGGATCGTGGAGGGGCGGCGATCGCCCCGCAGACAAGAACTTTGATAAACCAGGACACCAGTGCGCCGAGAAGACTGCAGCTGTGAACGGAACTGGAATCCCCTGGCTCACTAGGTCCTGGTTCACAGGTAGGCCTCCCACAGCAATGGCTCCGAGAAGATGGGGTCGGAGGATCGCGCCGCATCGCCGATGCATCGGCGATGTCGGCGTGGAGGAAGTCGGGCCCCAAATCGAGCTGCATCGCCGATGCATCGGCGATGAGGCGCAATCCTGCAACCCTATCTGTCCAATCGGGTCCCATATGGAAGGCCTGGAGTCCTGGCTCCAAGAGCCCTGCTTGCCATCCCTCGGACGACCATATCCCATGCATTGTCTTGTTTCGTGCGTGCTTTTGTTGTTGAGCACTCATTCCCAAATAATAGCTCATTTCATTTCACTCCTCCAATGCACCCTGTGTTCTTTCAATTGCAGTGCCCCTCCCAGGGCACGCGCCCTGTTTTTCACAATAGAATCCTCCAATATCAGACTGTATTGTTGCCCCCCATGGTGCAACAACAACGGCTCTCCCACCTGATACTCCCTCACAATGTATTCAAAATCGCGCTCTCGCGCGGAACATCCGCACAATGAATGCAGGAATCGCGCTCTCACGTTGGAGTTCCTCGCGCTTTATTCACACGCCGCGCCCTCGACACTCAAGAAGCACGCTCTCGCTTTTGGTTCCCCCTACGATTCACATGTGAATCGCGCTATCTTTCGAAGCTTCTTCCTCGCGACTCATGCAAGGCTGACGCTGTAGCGACCCGACCGCTTGACCCTGCCGTCTGGGCCCGCCGCCCGATCCGCCCGTCAGGGTCCGCCCGCCCGATCCGCCAGTCTGGTTCTGCCGCTTGTTCTTCTGCTCGTAGCCCTTCTCCTGCTAACACGTTTCTCGTGCTCCATAAGTCTTTCTGCCCGTTATCCCTCCCCTCCCCCTTCCACTGTATTAGGGGCTGCGCCAACTACACGTGGCAGGCAAGCAAGAGGGCGGGGATCCAGGGTTTGGGATGTACATGTTGAATGACACGCGAGCAGAGAAGAACAAACAATAGTTACAAAAAAGCCTCGGTACCCGCCCTCGTCGTCTTCGATCGTACCCCTTGGGGGCATTCCCCAATCAGTGCTTGCACTGACGGTGTCCTCGCAGAAATTGAAAAATTTGGCGAAAATGTCCCGCCGATTTTGGTCGCACGCTGGGTTCCCGGGTTCCCGGGTTCCTGGTTCCGGGTCGATTTCGGAGGGCAGCGAGGTTCCTGGGTTCCCGGGTTCCTGATCGATCTTATTATCGATCGGTCTCACCATCGATCTCATTACCCACTTCTCTATCGATCTCACCATCGATCTCACCATCGATCTCACTATCGATCGGACAAGCGATCTCACTAGAGATCGCATGAGCGATCTCGCGATCGATCTTACTATTGACCTCAAAGAATCGGTTGCACTCTCGGTCACACGATCGACCTTACAATCGTCCTCGCTATCGATTCCATTACCGATCTCATACTCGATCTCGCAATCGACCTCAAGATTCATCGTATAAATTTCAAATCATCCGCTGGTTGGCGTTTTCTCAGGTGTAGTATCTTCCTTACCTGCCGCTTGCATTTAGTGCAACCCCTAGAACAAAGAAGAGAAGACGGGTGGAAGGGGGAGGGAGAAGAATGGAGCACGGGAGAAATTAGTAGGAGAGAGGGGCAAGGGACAGGAGTAGAAAACAAGTGGTAGAACAATACGGGCAGATCGGGTGGGCAGACCCATAGCGATAGCGGGCAGGTCGGGAAGGCGGGCCCAGGCGACCTGGTCGAACAGGCGGGTTGCTGAAGCGTGTGGGTTCTGAATTACTCGCGAGGAAGTCTCGAGCGATAGCGCGATTCCCAAATCGTGGGAAAGGCCTAGGCGAGAGCGTGATTCCTGAGCGCCGAGGGCGCATCGTCTGAATAAACTGCGAGGACGTCCCACGCGAGAGCACGACTCGATACAAATTGTAAGGACATCCCGCGCGAGAGCGCGATTATGGAATACACCGCCAGGAAGTATCAAGCGTGAGCCGTTGTTGCTGTTGTTGCAAGCCGATGGCCAACAAACCAATTTTAGCCGAGTGACGTTCCCTGATACACAAACAGGGTGCGAGCCTCGGGGGAAGCACTTCAATTGAAACGATACAATGGGATTCTCGCTTCCGCTCTGGATGTCCTCTCGCGTTTCCTTGGGAATCGCGATACCGTTCGAGGCGCCCCCGCGCTTCGAGCAAGACTGACGCTTCAGCGACCCGCCCGCTCGGCCTTGCCGTCGGGGCCCGCCGCCCGCCCCGCCCGAATCAGGCTTCGCCCGTCCGGCCGGCCCGTCTGGTGCTGCCCCTCTGGCTAACCTCTCGTTTCTCAATGCTTTTCCCCCCCCCCCCCCCCCTGTCCCTTTCCCTCCCTCCCTCCCTCCTCCCCCGCTTCTCTCGTTTGTTCGATCCTTCTCCCTTCCCCCTTGTCCCCATCCCTCCCTCCCTCCCTCCTCCCCTGCTTCTCTCGTTTGCTCCATCCTTCTCCCTCCCCCGCTCCCTCCCTCCCTTCCCCCTCCTCCCTCCCTCCCTCCCTCCCTCCCCATTGTCGGGCGGGTATCGAGGGTTTGGGATGGACATGTTGGATGATACGCGAGCAGATGAAAGCGAGCAGTAGTATGTGTGTCGTTGGTATGTGCATCAAGCAAAAAGGATGGCCACGTATACTCCAAGATGGTCCAGATGCTCTGGCGGACGCCTCGCCGAGAAGCACGCCGACGCCTGAGCCGTGCCACGCGTGACAATGGCCGAGCGGCCCCGGGCCGGCCGAGAGGGGGCGGCGGCGCGGCCGAGGAGCTCGAGGCACAAGGGCCGCGGGAACTTGACGGTCGCGAGCCAGTAGCCCTCGCGCGAGGCGCTGCGCAGGCGCTCGCCGGCGTCCACGGCGTACCTCCGGCGGGCCCCCCAACCTCCGCTGGTGGGGACAAAAACGCGGCGGGAGTTGATTGGGGTTCGGAGTGCAAAGCAGGATTCGAACGGGATCTTATTGAAGTCTGGAAAGGCTTTCTCTCTCTCTCTGTGTTTGTCTTCTTTTTCTCGCTCTCTCGCTCTCTCTCTCTCTCCCCTCTTCAAGAGTCCATCAGATTCTTGAGTCGAGAGGATCCTTCAGGATCCCTCACGATTCTCGAACACCCTGGCTTTGCACCCCAAACCGTTGTTGGCAAATCTGGCTCAAGGCTCCACTCGCTCAGCCAGCAAGGACACATGCTGGGTCGGTAGGAGTCCAGCAGAGCCTTTGGCTCAGCCACGCGACATCGTCTGAGAAGATAGCCAGGGAAAACACGCACATCAACGGCGAACATATCCGTATCCGCAACCTCGCGGTCTGGACTGCGGGGCGCGATCCCACGGATGCGCGGTCATACTGACACGTTCTGCGCGGGGCATCCGCGAAACAACGCCCCATATCCGCGGGGCCGCGGTCCATTGGCCTGGCCCGCGAGGGCGCGGATACGGATATGTTGTTCGCCCACGACTCTCATTGGGACATGCCCGCGACGGGAGCTTTTCGTCCCTCCAATTCTCGGCATCCGGCGGCCCTCGCCGGGCCCCGGGACCGCACAAGATCAACCGGATGCAAAGCTGGCCCCCAGGACCAAGACTCCCGACTCCGTGATTCTTTTCATGACGTGAGTCCCAGGAGCCTGGACCCCTTCCTGGGGACCGGTGTTTCATCCTGAATCATTTTCGGAAACCAGACTGAGCGAACAACCTCCCGCCGTGATTTGTTCCACAACGCGAGGAGGCCTGGGGAAGGAGTCTAGACATCACAACGTCAGATGCCTGGGTCATGAGGTGCTAGTCTTTCAAGGAGGGGCTTCTCTCGTGGTGAAGGGGGTCACCGTTTGTGATTTGGGGACTTGTGGGCAGAGGGGCCCGGGACGGGAGGGTGCGCCTGCAGCATTGCTGGTGCATCCTGGGTGCTCTCTGGTCTTCCTCCTCCTCCTCCTCCTCTTTCCTCCTCCTCCTCCTTCTCCTCTTCTCTCCTTCTCCTCCTCCTCCTCGACTCTCCTTCTCCTCCTCCCTCCTCTCGCGGGGGAACGTTCATATGGGGGAGCGGCTCAGAGGGGGGCGGGGGGACCACCATCGAGCCGGCATCGGCGGTGCCTCGCCGACAGACTGGCGAGAGCGGGGGGCAGAACTCCGGAGGCCTCCGCGCGGCCAGGGTCTGGGATGGTAGCACAACTGACCACCGTCACCACAACCCAGCCTCCGAATCCTCCCCATCCTCCTTGGCCTCTCCCCCCTCGTCCTCCTCGTCCCCCTGCCCTCGTGCTCTCCCGGGCCCCCCCGCCCCCCGCCGTTTCTTCAGCACAGTCCTCCTCCTCCTCCTCGTGATCCTATCCCCCCCCGCTTCTCCTCCGCTGGGGGCGAGCGGGTGGGCGAAGAGGAAGGCAATGGGCCCAGCCGCAGGAACGGGGGGGGGGCCGGAGAGGTCGCAACAGGTCGCGGGTCGCCGCATGGAGAAGCTCGAAGGGTCGTAGTCGGCCATGACGCACAGATCCTCGCTTCTATCGCTCTCTCAGCCGCTGCCGCTAGATGCGTCGCTCGCCTCTGTCTGTCTGTCTGTCTGTCTGTCTGTCTGTCTGTCTGTCTGTCTGTCTGTCTGTCTGTCTGTCTGTCTGTCTGTCTGCCTGTCTCTGTCTGTATCTGTCTCTGTCTGTCTCTGTCGCTGTCCCTCTCTCTCTCACTCTCTCTCAGCCGCTGGCTGCCTCACTTGCCTCTCTCTTTTTCTCGCTCTCTCTCTCTCTCTCTCTGTCCCTCCCTCTTTCTTTCTCTTTCTTTTGTTGTCTTCTCTCTCTCTCTGACGCGCGTACACTTTCTGGCGTCGCGGCCACCCGCGCAACGACGTGGCGGAAGCAGTAGACAAAGCGCCCGGAAAGCCGCCGAGGCCAGAGGCACGTGCTCTCTCGCTCTCTCTGCCCATCTCTCTCTCTCTCTCTCGCTATCCCTCCGATTTTCTCTCTCTCTCTCTCTCGCCCTCTGCTCCGTCTCTGCATCTCTCCCAGCTTCCTCCGAATCTCATGAGCCTCCCTCCGTGTCCCCTCCCTTCACCTGTCCGCCACCGTGCCTCCTGGCACGATCAGGCGCGGCAAAATATGCCAAGTGCTGTCCGGCAGGGTCTCTGTAGTCTTTTTTCGCGGGACCCCCCCACCCCTCGCGTCGCGTTGAGTCACGCGCACCACCCCTGCTCCTCGGGGTCCATGGGCGGCCATGGCGTCTCCCTGGGGGCCACGAAAGCTGCCAAGACGGCCGAGGAAGGCTATCAACGCTGCCAGGACGGCCGAACGTGCATCTAAGATTGTTTGAATTGGCTACAGAACGGCCCAAGATGGTCTCATGACGGCCCACAGTTGCATCAAGACGGCTCAGTGGCGCCGCAAGACGCCTCAGGAGGGAGGATCCATGAGGGGCATCAAGGGAGCCCCTTAGGTTTAGGACGGGCACGTCCCCCTACAGGCGGATTTTGGACGAAAGATCTGAAACAATCAAGAAATGCCACAGTAACACTCAAACTTACTCAACCAATGTACCCACACTATTTTTAAACCATGTGTAAACTATTCCTCCTGTAGAGGGGCACGCCCGACTTAACGTTACATTGTTCATTGTCTTTGGGGTTCTCACGTTTCCTGGCTTCCGTCAGCTCAGGGCGGCCAGAAGGCCTTCAAGATCGCCTCAAGATGGCCCATGAGAGCTCAAACATGAGAACACACGCGTCCAAGGCTGCCTCCAGAAGGCCCAAGAGAGCGCGTAAAATGTCCAGGGCGGCCCCTGGAGGGCCTCAAGGTGGCCAAAGAAGTTTCCAGAGGGACGCAAAACGGACTGAGAAAGCCCCTCGACGGCCCCCAAACGGCCCCAATCGACCTCCAGACGGCCCAAGAGGGCCCTAAGACGGCCCAGAGGGCCCCGAGACGGCCGACGAGAGCTCCCAGATGGATCAGGCTGCCCCAGGACGGCCTACTGTCGCTCTGCGATGCGTCCGAATGCCTCAACTGGCTTCTGAGACAGCCTGGCCAAGCCACCAAGGCTGCCATGATAGCCCTCGATGCCCTCAGAACGTCCACCCGCCCGTTCCGTTTCTCTCTCATCGCCTTCGCTCCCGTATCCGTTGTGTTCACCAGCCCCTCCTCTCCCTCCTCCTCGCCCTCCTCTTTTTCCTCTCCTCCTCTTCCCCCTTCCCTCGCGAATTCTCAAACCGAGTGGACACGGCAGCAGCACGATACCTGAATCTCGTTCAGCGGGCGAACACAAACCCCATCCTCCTCAGCCCCCGTCGTCTCGCTGCCTGCCCCTTTCCGTCAGTCCGCAAGGACCGGAATAACGACCAGAGAAGCCTTCCAGGCGCGTTGAAGAGGGAATGGCGAGGAAGCAAGCGGAAGAGAAGCGAGCAACAGGAAACGGGAGGACAAGACTGCGGGCAAGGATGGGGTGTTCAAAACCCGCTCCGGAACAGAGCACTGTCTGAGCTGGCGCCGCTGCACTGCCGCGCTGGCACGGTGGCGGGAATTGCCGCAGGCAGCTGAATCTAACATCTCTCGTGGGTACTACCCTCCTCTCGCCCATGAACACCATCTGGCTGATGACTGTCTTGCAGAAATTTCTTCGTGAGAACAATTGTGCTCTCGCCCCTGATCACCATCTGGCCGATGACAGCCTTGCAACCACCCCTGCTGCGTATCTTGACTTCCCCACTCAAAATTTCCTAGTTTGGATTATTGTCCGTGACCATGCCGGAAGGGTGGCAAGGCATACTGCAAACACGTCTGATACAATTTAAGAGGTATCTTTAATGAGGCAGCGTTGAGGACCGCTTCATTAACCATTCACTCCAGATCACAAAAGTGCCTCGCTGTCACGCCACAGCGTGATTCCACAATTGGGCCGCCGAGGGCGCAACCTATGGCGCAACCGATGGGACACGGCTTGATTCTCGGGCGCCGAGGGAGCAACCTATGGCGCAACGGATAGGACACGGATTTTTTCTCGGCCGCCGAAGCGCAACATATGGCGCAACTGACAGGAGACAGCTATATTCTCGGCCGCCGAGGGCGCAACCTATGGTGCAGCTGATGGGATGCAACCGATAGAACACGGCTTGATTCTCGGCCGCCGAGGGCGCAACTTATGGCGCAACCGATCGGACACGGCTTGATTCTCGGCCGCCGAGGGCGCAACCTATGGCGCAACTGATGGGAGACGGCTTGATTCTCGGCCGCCGAGGGCGCAACCTATGGCGCAACTGATAGACGGCTTGATTCTCGGCCGCCGAGGGCGCAACCTATGGCGCAACTGATGGGAGACGGCTTGATTCTCGGCCGCCGAGGGCGCAACCTATGGTGCAACTGATGGGAGACGGCTTGATTCTCGGCCGCCGAGGGCGCAACCTATGGCGCAACCCATGGCGCAACCTAGGGCGCAGCCTGTGGCCTCTGCCGCCGACCCCAGATAACACCGCAACCGAGCCAGCGAGGGCGTCGAGGACCGAGGTGCCAGGAGAGGGAGGATGAGCAGGAGGGGGACGAGGAGAAATGAGGACGATGTCCTAGGAGGCGAGGAGGATGAGGAGGACGTGGAGGAGGAGGACGACGACGACGACGATAGCATGGGGAGGAGGACGGGGAGGAATACAAGCAGCACGAGGGCGAAGTGTGGGCATTCGAATGCGTGCGGGGCTCCGCCGGGTTCATGCTCGCTGCTTGGGCTGGCGGTGGGGCCCAAGCGGCGGGCTGTCTTGCGATCCTCCTCCTCGACCCGAGGGGGCCTGGTTCCTGGACGAAGATCACGAACATGCGCACCGCCGGCGGCAGCGACGGGGGCGGCTGCGACGGGCTCACGCTCGGCAGGGCCGTCGCCCGGGCCCTCCCGGGGGGCGGCGGAGCGGAGGAGCTCGCCGTGGGCGGAGGATGCGCCGCAGGGGGGCGGAGAGGTGTCCCATAGCAGAAGCATCACAAAAGTGTCGGCGGCGAACGAGGGGGGGGAGGCGAGGAGGAGACGGCCTTCTCGGCGGGCGGCGGGACTTCTCCAAGATAACCCTCGCGAGTGTCGGCGTTGGTTCGACTGGTGTCGGGCGCCAGGGCCTTCACGGATCGATCCCGGTCGAAAAATGCAGCAGCAAGACGGGGCCTATAGCGGTGGCGAGCGCGGGGGCCGCGTGAGAGGCAGAAGGCCTCGGAGGCGGCGGGACTTCTTCGAACACCTCGCGCCTTCTGAGAAGTCTTCTGCGTCTCCCGGAAGGCTGGGGGACTTCCGAGCCTTCTGAGAAGGTGTTCTCATTCTCCTCTCGCCTCCCACCGTGCCCGCCGCAGGGCGTTACCCAAGAGATCCGGAAGACTATTCTCTTCTTCCAGGTCGGCGTCTTCTCGCCTGGCTTCGGGCGCTGGGACCTTCACAGCTGGATCTTGCCCGAAGAGTGCAACAAGAAGATAGGGGTCTAGGCTTCGGTCGCGTGCTTTGTTGTTGCGATGTTTGCATTTGTTCTGCTGCGTTCTCGGGGGACCTTGTCTGTCGCGTCGCGGCCCTATCCGCGTCGAATCAGTGTCGAATCCATGTCGGGCTCGTCGGATCCGGGTCGACTCCGTGCCGAATCCGCGTCGAATCCACGCCAAATGCGCGTCCAATCCGCATCGGGCCCGCGTCGGGCCCAAGAGAAGACACCAACTTTTGGGACAGGCGAGGTTCCCCGAAGATCTTCGGCCTCCAGCCCTCGCTGGGCCCTCGGAGAGCGTCCACAGAACGGCTCCCGAGGGAGCACCGGTCCTACAGTCATCCCGCATGGTAAGGATGGGCAGTTATCCCAATGGTACCCTTGCCTTGTCTCCTCGGCCCACCCTTGGCCTCTTTCGTTGGAAGCGCCCCGCTAGAAAAGCTCCGAAGCGGCCTTCGAATGCCCTTGCATCCTCATCGTGCGTCCTTCTTATACGGGCCGGCTGTATGGGGACCTCCGGGGGCCCACACCGTGACAACAGGGCTCACAGCGTCGGAATTCTGCGTGGCTGCCGAGGACAGAAAAATGTGGAACTACCTCTGGACCCCGTTCTCCGACGATGGGTCTTTTCTTCGCGCGGTTTGCCTCGACTTCGGCCCCCGGGGCGGGCCTTCTTCGGGCGGGTGTTCATGCGGGGTGACGGGGGGTGACTCAAAAATGGGGGATGAAGTAAAAGGCCCTAAAGGGGCCCTTCAGGGCCCCCTTTTGAAACCATCTGGCTCCTAAAGGGGCCCTAAAGGGCCTCATTTGGGCCATCTTCACCCCCCGTGTAGGTCACCCCCCATTACCACCCGCCCGACTTCTCAGCAGGCTCGGAAGTCCCCTGGCTTTCGGAGAAGTGTTCTGAGCCTTCCACGACGACCCACGAAAAACCTTCAAGGGCTTCTGAGAAGTCCCGCCCCCTTCTAAGAAGGCCTTCTTCTCACTTCCCCCCCTCGCTCGCCACCGATACACCCCATCGTCCTGCTACATGTTTCGAGCAGGATCGATCTGTGAAGGGAAGCGAGTCGACCAAACGCGCACCTCGGATACTGTCGGACCGAGGTTGAATACCGAGCTCAATTCGGGGAAGGTGCCCTAATATTATTCGTGCTTGTTGGATGTTCTTGTGCATCCTGGGGGGGTACCCTCAAGAGTCCTTCAGGTTGGCCGCGTAATCGGGTCCGATCAAAAGGGGCTCAGGGCGATACCCCCATCTTATAGAAAAGTAAAAAGCGCCACAAACATAAACTTTTGGCGCCCCGCGCGGATTTTCTGGGATCTGCGCTGGACCCTTAGCCCTGGCGCGCGGAGCGCGCCAGGGGCGGCGCTGGAGGCCCCGCCGAGGGGGCCCAGCGCTGATCCCAGAAATCCGCGCAGAGGACCAACAATTTATGTTTATGGCGTCTTTTTGTCCTCGGAGATTGGCCGCCGAATCGGGTCCTTGCAAAGGGGTCCCGGGCGATACCGCCATGGACGGGGTCGGGAGCTCAGAGGCCGCGGCGCGAACCGAAGTGGGTTCGGAGGGAGTCTGGGGAGAGGCGGAGGGAGAGTGCCGCCGCGGGAGGAAGGCGGACGCCGGCGGCTGGCGCGCGAGCGGCCTGCGCCTACTGGCCCTCCTCCTCCTCCTCCACCTCCCTACTGCTCCTCCTCCTCCTCCTCCGCCTCCTCCTCCTCCTCCTCCTCCTCCTCCTCCTCCTCCTCCTCATCATCATCATCATCATCATCATCATCATCATCATCATCATCATCATCATCATCGCTCTCTTCCCCCGCTCTCGAGGCGCACGGAAGGGTAGGATAGCAAAGGGCAGGGTGGAGAACCAGCCCACGTAGCTGGTCTTCCTGGCACCTCCTGGCGCTGGGAGGCGTCCCTGTATCGAAGAATGGGCCTGGGGGCGGGGCGGAAATCAGCTGCATACAGCAGGTTTCGTACCCCCCGCTGTCCCTATCCTACCCTTTCGTCTAGCCCTGCTGCTGCTGCTGCTCCAGTCCCTGGACTCCAGACGCCCTGAAATGTTGCTGCGTGATCCGACATCACCCTGTCCCACCAGGACTTCCTTTCGCATCAGATCTCTTAAATTACAATCCAACGATCCATAGATCCGATGTCTTGATGTTTCACAGCGTGGACCACCGGAGGGCTAGTTCATCCTGGGCAGTTCTATTGACAGTCCCGGGGCTAAGCGATGGCCCCCAGAGGCCATACCTTGGCAAAATCCGTTCATCGCAGTATTTTCACGACGAAAGAAATGAGGGCTCCTCCCGCATCAACAGTGTGCGCAATCTTGTGAGTTGGGCAGGGACCGACCGTCCTGGCAATAATGTAGGCGTACCACGTTCTTGGAGCAAAAGGATTTGAGACAAAGCCCTTACAAAATGCAAGCGGCGGTTTAAAACAAGACTGACTCAGCAGCCAAGACATGTTCCAAGCATACTTCGTTCTAACCACCGTATGCTCTTAGAACATTCTTGGCTGGATCTTTATAGGCAGGTCAGGAGGCTTCGCCACCGCTTGAGTCAAACTGGAGAGGGAGGCGTGACCTCGAACGAGGCGACGCTGGCGGAGAGGAGGCCTGGGCCCCTCAGCCATCCCCCGCGCTGAGCCTGCTCGAGCTGCCAGCCCGTAGCAGGCCTGGACTTGCTGGCCCGAGCAACACTCTGGCCACGCGGCCCCCCTGCGCCCGTGCCAGGATCGCCACGAAGGGAATATGGATGAACGGGTCCTGAGACAAGCGGGTCCAGGAGGCTTCTGGCGCTCCACGGCCCTTCGGAGCCCTCCACGGGTCTCGTCAAACAGAAGACTCGGGAGGATGAGCCAGTCTTGAATGTCAGGGTCAAGGATTACGTCGGGCATGTCCTCCTACAGGCGGATCTTGGAAGGACGAATAATAAATAGCCAAACGTCTGTCAACTGAAATCAAACAGCACAAGAAGTCCCCAGACTATGTTCTGCTATTATTGAGCATGTCTCCTGTACAGGGCAGGGACGTGCCCTGCTGAAGTCCAGGACACCCTTCCCTCAGGATCCGTCTCCCCCATGCCACAACAGGACCCTGGCGGCCGCGCTGGCCAGGCCCGCGCCGCCCGCTGGCCACGGCGCGACCCTCGCCCTGGCAGGGCCCCAGACCCCGACCCTCGGCCTCTCCTGAGATCCTGGCGCTGCAGCGTTTCGGCTGCACGCAAGACTGACCTGTGGTGCGCGGCTTTCTGGAGGAGGCGGGGGGGGGGGGGGCAAACACACGCGCCCAAGACGCTACTGCCGCATCGCCTTCGGCGAGCGGGGGGTCCCAGTGTGCCCACACCAAAGGTCACTCCGGCGAAGGATAACCCTTACGTCTGGTCCACTCTCGGCCTCCCCTGAGGTCCTGGCGCCGCAACTTTTTCACAGCGGGCGCTTGTTCGCCCGGCTTCGGGCCCCGGGACCCTCTCGCAGCTTGAGGCGGCTCGAGAGATGGCGCAGAAAGATGGAGCCCGGGGCTCCGGTCGCAATCTTCTGTGATCTCGCAGATCTTTCTGCAGATCTCTCTGCATCGTAGAAGCTCGGGGTCCACCGTCCGACGCCTCCGCGGCCTCGTGGGCGGCCGCGCTGGCGGCGGCCGCGGCGCGGCAGCGGCAGTCCGGGAAGGGTGGGAGGTGGAGGCCGAAGGGGGACACCAGGACTTCGCAAACCGGGCCAGTGCCACCCTGACGGCGACTCCACGGGCGGGCACTTTTGTCCAGCGAGGGCTCCACGAACGGGCACTCTGGCCAGCGACCTGGGCGAAGCAAGCCTTCCCCGATGTGGGCATCGCTGCAGAGCCCGAAAGCGGCCCAACGTGGCAACGTCGGACGGGTTTCTGGAAGTGCACGTTTTGAGCAGGGACCGACAGTACCGGCATTCCTATAGGCCTACCACGGAAAGCCCTGAGAACCCAGAGATGCCCTAAGAGCAAAATCAAGGTCCTTAGAACATAAACCCGATGTGCTACAACAAGACGGTCTCAACCAAAAATGTTCTAAGACCATTTCGTGCAAACCACAACATGCTGTCAGGATTTGTTCGGTGGGCCTGTAGGCAAGCCAAGACGCCTCGTCAGTGCTTGAACGTTGGCGAAGACCCATTGCGGTGCCGCTGAACAGGATTTTGCCAGATCCGGCCCGGCGGCCAGAAAGAACGGAGAGAGACCCAGACATCCGACGATGTGATCAGTCCATGTGCGGCACCGAAGGCGCACCCCTCCCCCATCAAATGCATTCCCTGCCGGATCCGTTCTTGATGGCCCCAGGGCCCGATGACGGGCCTGGCCGAAATCGAAATCCTTAGGCCGACACGGCTGCAGCCTTCTCGACGGGTCGGTGTCCTGGTCTATCAAACCGAGTCTCCGTTCCTGGTCTATCATACCTGGTTTATCTAGCCAGAGAACGATAAGACGAAGCCCGGACGAGGATCACATCGGGTGAAGATAAATCGAGATGCTTTGAGATCCAGCGACTCCTGGAGGATGTCTCGGGGGCCACGGCCTTCTCAAAGCGTTCCGGAATGCTCTGAGAGCGTCCCGGAACGTTCTGGAACGGATGCGTCCTCGTCCCAGCCCCGTCCGAAAGGCGGGAGTGGAGGAGGAGGAGAAGGACGAGGACGAGGAGTAGGAGGCCCCGACGCCCGCTCGCCCCTGCCCCTCCGGATTACGGGCTTGATGCCGTCCAGCTTCGGGGCCTGGCGCGCGCGAGTGGAACGATCGTCGAACGTAGAGGCCTCCCAAATGCGCGACGAAAAGAAACGGGTCTCACGCGAGATGACATAGCAAGCTTACGCGGCGGCCTACGCGGGCCGCCAGCGTGGCACGCTACACTGGATAAGAGGGCGCTTGCGAGCGACCTGACGCGGGAACCTTGCGCACGAATGCTGGCGCAGTCGAACCCGTTTTTGGGGCATCGCTCAGATGGGGTCCGAGTAGATGGGGTCGGAGGAACGCGCCGCATCGCATATGCATCGCTGATGTATCGTATCGACGACGTATCGACGATGCATCGGCGACGTCGGCGGTGCATCGGCGGCGCCATCGTGGAGAAAATCGGGCTGAACATCGAGCCGCATACCCTCCGACCCTATCTAAACTTCGACCCCATCTAGAGGCCTAGAGACTGGCGGAACATTCCCAGACCTCCTTGCGCTGTGTTTGGCAACTTCTTGCCTACGAGAGCCTTTTTGTTGGACCCCAGGACAAACAACAAACCACCAGGGATGTAGGGCCGGTCCGGGGGAAGGGGTCCAGACCTCCAGGGCCCCACGTCGCGAAACACACACACACACAGACAGACACACACACACACACCTTTTTATTTTTGGGTCGGCGGGTCGGGAGCGGGCCACTTCCGGTTAAGAGCGCGGCGAGGCGCGCGAAGCCCCAATTGGGGAGACAGGGCGCGGGCGAGCGGGGCCTCAGGCGGCCGGAAGGTGCAGAGTACAGGCGGTGCCGAAGATCTTGCACAGGAAAAGGTACGCCATGGACAGGAGCCGGGGGCGAAGTCCCAGAGGGAGAGTGAATTGGTGTTGCCGTCAACGGCGTGCCCGGAACACCATCCTCGAGTGCTGCGTGGGGAAGGCCGTGACCATGTCAACGTCCGTGAGGTAGAGGAAGACCAGGTAGGCGAAGTGCACCAGGTGCCACCGACTGGTAAGGAGAGGCCCAGGAGATGAGGATGACCACGAAGTCGATGTGCAATGTTGTGCCACCGGGTGACACACACACACATACACACAAACACATACACGCAAACACACACACACACACACACGCACACACACACACACCAGGAGTTCTGGGATGCACGATGACGCCCTCATGGTGGCTCTCTCGCGACCTGGGCTATGGCGATTGCCAGTTCATGGCGGACTGCGCCGGATTGCGGGAGGCGTCTCAGACGGCTCACAACGTCAGCCGTCGCATGATGACGAGCGCCCGACCTGCTCGGCTGCGGACAGCTGCCGAGCGTCATCTGGCGGCGGGGAGATCTGGAAGAACACGTGTGACGCAGAGGGGTGCGGCGGTCGATAAATTCCCCCCCCCGAAACCTGCGGGCAATTGATCTAAGCCCTTTGGCCCAAACGTGCGCATCGAGACCCGCAAAAACCGACACGGCACAGACAATCCATCCCGAGTTCGGCCAGCAAGGCACGCTCATAGTGCATGGTGAGCTGTAGAACTCCGATGTCGTCGTTTCCACAGCGTGGACCCCCGGAGATCTCGAGCCCTGCCCCTGACCAATTTATCATCCCCAGCAGCTTTTTGATGGTCCCGCGAGGCTTCGGGAGGGCCCCCAGAGGCCGAAAATTGCCAAAAACCTCCCCCCGTTTTACACCAGGAGAAGGGGTGGGAGGAGCTCGCAGTGGCGGTGAAAGGAATAGCGAACGCGTGGGCCGCACTTGGACGGGCAACCCCGTGAGGAGGTCGGAGGGGGGAGGGGGACGAGGACAAGCTAGGTGAGCTCGCGTCATATCTGACGTCCTACCCCTCCCTCCCATCCCTTACCATGGCGTAGATCTTCTCTCTATTCGCGCAGTCGGATGTTGTAGCACGGCGTAGCATTCCATGGCATAGCATGTTGTTGAAGATCAACGCGTAGCATGACATAGCAAGGCCTGGCGACGCACCAAAGTGGGCCTTCTGCGGCCAAACAAATCAACGAATCGACACCGAATCTTCGATGGTTTTGTCGGTGGGCATTTTCTAAATTTTGGGGCCTACTTGAGAGACCGAAAACCATGCCGTGGCATGGCACTGGAAGTAATGAGGCCAGCGCTGCAACGAAAGCACGATTCGGAACGAGCGGAAGCGCGGAAATGAGGCCAACGCTGCAGCGGGAGCACGATTCGGAACGAGCAGAAGCGCGGAAATGAGGCCAACGCTGCAGCGGGAGCACGATTCGGAACGAGCGGAAGCGCGGAAATGAGACCAGCGCTGCAGCGGGAGCACGATTCAGAACGAGTGGAAGCCCGAGCATGAGGCCAGCGTTTCAGCGGGAGCAACATTTTGGAACAAAAATCCAAGCGACAACCATATTCCTGGGAATCCTGTGTGTCAAACAAGCATACGCGGAGGAGGGCCGGACATCTTCCGGGCGTCATCTGGGGAGAGAGAAGGGTAGTATTCATCTTGTGCAACTGTGGAGCAGGAGGAAAGGAGGGGGGGAAGGAGGAGCGATCCCCAAACGACCCCCCGTTGAGTGCAATGCAGCTGTTTTTTGCTGCCAGCCCAGGGCGCCTCGGGGCCGCCTGGTCCTTTGGTCCCCAAAACAGGGCCGCGCTGGGTGCCGAGTGGAAGCCGTGCGAGCAGCTCTGGCGACCCCCAGCCCAAAAGGGAGGGAGGGGGAGGCTCCGAACTGCCAGATCGACCCCTCCGCGACAGGGGCTGCCAGGCCGACCCCGCCGCGATAGGGGCTTAGAGGTTTCAGACTCCAGTGCAGCGCACGCGAGCGACCTTCGCCAGATGCTTCTGCGCAGTGCCGCTCACGCTGAAAATTTCATGGGGGGCGAGATCTACCTGCGCTGGGCAATCATGTGGTATTCTCAGAACGTCGACCCCCTGAGGTCTGGACCGCCTTCCCTGGGACCAGCTCTTCCGCCCACATAGAACCATCGTGCTACCATAAGGAACGTCAGAAGGAACGAACAAGCTTTTCTGGCCGCAGCGAGCCTCGGTCACGAAGAAATTTCCCGACATGGATCCAGGAAGCGGCAGACAATATGTGCTTGTTTTGCTATATCGGGCCTCTGCAGCGCGGTTATCTTCACCACGCCACTCTACAACTGTTTCGGTTCAATCCGCCAGCCCCCTTGTGGGGCCATCAGGCTGCGAGGATAAGGTTTCAGCACCCTGCACCAATTCCAGTTTCCAGTCTCCAATGCTATAGTCAAGCTTTCTGCGTCCTATTGTAAATTGTTGAATTCCGCGCGAAGGAGAAAGTCCCTAAACCAGCCGGTTACCCTCTCCGAATCGCGCTGTCTGAATTCCTGGGGGCTGTGGGACAAGTGAGAATACATGAGATTCGCGCTCCCGACGCAATAATTTCTCGTAAAGTGAATTGCTTTCGCGTGCAAGATGCACCGTATTCGCGCCCCTCATGCAAATTACGTTACGTAGCCCCCCCGCAGATGCGGATAAGAGTGAGGGGGCGGTGGGGACGTTGGCAGTCTGCGAGACTCTGGAGAAGCCCGCAGCAAGCGCCAAAGATCACACATTATACAACGAGTCCGCCGCAGGCGCCGATCTTTTCTTGAACCAGTGTGGATCGGTCGCGGGTGGGTCGCGGGTGGGTCGCGGGTGGGTCGTGGGGTGGGTCGCGGGTGGGTCGCAAGTGGGTCGCGGGTGGGTTGCGGGTGGGTCGCGGATGGGTCGCGGGGTGGGTCGCGGGTGGGTCGCGGGGTGGGTCGCGGGTGGGTCGCGGGTGGTTCGCGGGTGGGTCACGGGGTGGTTCGCGGGTGGGTCTCGGGTTGGGTCGCGGGTGGGTCGCGGGGTGGCTCGCGGGGTGGGTCGCGGGGTGGGTCGCGGGGTGGGTCGCGGGTGGGTCGCGGGGGGGGGGGGACGACGACAACAACCAACCACAACAACAACAACAACAACAACAACAACAACAACAACAACAACATCAACAACAACAACACTAACAACAACAACAACAACAACAACAACAACAACAACAACAACAACAACAACAACAACAACAACAACAACAACACCAACACCAACACCAACAACAACAACAACAACAACAACAACGCAACAAGCAGACAATTCACTACGGATTCTCACTTCAGCCACGCACCCGGGGGCAATTAATGACCGTTCGGCCCCCTCACTATGACATTCGCGCCTCTGTGGCCACGATCTCCCGGTAAATTACACCACATTCGCGCTCCCGACGCCAGGATCCCCCGTAAATTACGCCACGCTCGCGTCCCCGAGGCCACGATGCCTAGCAAATTGCACCACATTCGCGTCCCCTAGCCACGATCCTGTTTCAAAATGCACCATATTCGCGCCCCCGAGGCCACTTGAATAAATCTTCTGTCCCTGAGGCAACGAACCCTCGTATATTATACCATGCTCGCGTCCCCGAAACCAGACCTTCTCACAAAATACACCAGATTCGCGTCCACGAGGCCACAAACCTTGTAAATTGCTCAGTAGTCGCGTCCCCGAAGCCAGAACCCCTTCGGAAATTACTACTTCATATTCGCGCCCCCGAGGCCACAAACCCTTGCAAGATGCTAAATGCTTGCGTCCCCCAGGCAACAAACCCTAGCAAATTATCATAGATTCGCGTCCACGTGGCCATGAAGCCTAGCAAATTCGGCCATATGCGTATTGCCGAGGCCAAGAATGCTCCAAGGCAAGGCACCCGAAGATGATTCCAAGACGGCCCAAGAGGGTCCCAAGCGGCCAGGAAGTCATTCTAAGAGGCCTCCAGAGAGAGCCCGAAGAGGCCAACAACGTCAAATTGACACAAATGTGTGAAGGAGTCTGGGATTCTCGCATTGTCGGCTTTCCGGCGCTCCAAGATGGCTCAATAAGCTCCCAAGACAGCCCAAGACGCCTCCAAGAGGGCCCACAGACGGCCGAGAGGGCTCCAAGATGGCCCAAGAAGCGTTCCGAGAAGCTCCGAGGAGGCCCCAAGAGGCCCCAAGAGGCGCCCAAGACGCGCCACAGAGGCCTC